ACGCGACTTCCGCCCCGGAGCGTGCCACCGGCGCGGCCAGCGAGGGGAGGGGCTAATTGCTCGGAAGAGAAAAACGGCGACAGCGACAGCGGCGGCCGCAATTTACGCGCGACCACTGCTGCGGGCCGCGCCCCATCTCCACCCCCGCTTTGAAAAAAAAATTGCAGGTGGGCCGAGCCGCCGTTGCGCGCGAGGCAGCGCCCGCTGCGAGGAACAATGCGGGAACGCGCCGCGGTCGCCCGACGCCGCGCGTTTAACTTCGCGGCCGGGATAAAAAAGTCCGGGGCCGCAACGCCGTCCCTGCGGTACGCCACTGCGACGCCGGCCGGCCGCGATGGATGGAGCGGCGAGGATTTCTGGAGGCCGTGATCGAGCGAGCGAGTGGGACGAGATTGGCGCGCTGTGGTAATCACCGTCGTTCCGGTTGCGGAGTCGGATCTGAAAAATGAGCTTTGTCATTGGAGTGAAGGAAGTGGATGCGGGCAGCTGAAATGGAAATCCCGAGGCCGTTGGATCGAGTGTTGGTTTGAATAGTGCAGGCGGCTGCAGTGGTTGTCTCTCAGCTCGGCGACTATGGGTCCATTCACGTGTAAGGCGGAGATGTAAAGAACCTTGTGATTGAGCCATGACACGCAAAGGTAAACTGCCACATACACCATTCCGTCATATGTATCATCATTCAGCATTAGTTAATTGTTCATCAAAATGAAATATTAGTTTTCTTGAAAAAGTCTCCATAATCTTATAAATATTGTATTAAAAGTGAGTGACTGGTTGTATTCAGTGAATGTAAGTTAATAAGATTTCGAACAGAATTAGCATTAATAGGATACAGACAAAACACTTATTTAGGAGAAGGAAAGTAAATGGAATTTGGAATATGCAGTATCTTCGAAAATATACTTCGATCCTGCAAGGGAAAAGAATTTCATGTAATCACATATCATATCACGTCGAGATATTAGTTATCTAGCATGTTCACAGTGGTCTAAGAAATTAAATAATCGTCATACAGAAGATTTGAAGGTACTAAAATTTAAATTATCAAAATTCCACCGTATTGGGCGTAATTTATTTGCCATATCTGCTCCCTTAGTTATGTTTCCTCTACTCATTTGGACGATCATAACGCAAACTGATCGTGAGAATCAGAAGAAAAAACTTATAGAATCGGCAGGGAGTTCGATAAAATATGTCTTATAACTTTGTCGGGCAGAGTTTTCTCTGTTTGGAAACGCCAAGGAGCGAAGAAAGAAAAAATACAAGTTGATTTTTGAATTCAGAAAACGATATTACGTCAGTGCGGTCTTCTTTGGAAGAAAGAGACTGCGATTATTTTGTAAGAATGCTGATGAGGTGTTGTTGAATATATTAAATGATGTAATTTAAGTCATTATTGTCAAACTAGATTTATTCAAAGAACCGGATGAAGATCATGATAGCAAACCCGTCAAAAAAGGCTCTCTGATTAAATCTAAGTGGACTTAGATGATTTCAATTATTTCATCATGTGATTATTTTTGTTTATTCTGCCCTTCATTGTGGATGGCAGATTCTTTAAGCGCCTGTAGCGCCATTCTTCAGTAAACGGTATCCGAACATTAATAATAATTATTAATAATAATAGTAACTTTATTTGTATAGTGACTTCCATTGTATTAAATTAAACTTGTGTTGTTATTGCCCTGAGAAGTAAATCTATCAGAACCAATCTTATTTCTAGGGGTCCCTTACCGAAAGCATTTTCAAAAGACATAGCAAAATTTGTTCAAAATGATTCTTTACAAATAGTAACTTAAAATTTATAGTTATTAGTAATAAAACTGAAATATATTTATTATCGCTGTTGCTTGTTGTTTCTTTTCTTTTTTTGAGGTAAAGAAATATGTAAATAAAAAAAGAATATTCATTAGAAATGTATTTCAAGAAACAACTGGTCTTTTAAATTAATCAATCACACAAGGTTACGTATAAAAGGAAAAATTGCAAAATTTACGTAATTGGTAATGGTTTTTAGTGGTTTATACTCATTTAGGCTAGTTGTATACTTGCTATTCTTGAAAAGTTCATGAAATTTTTCTGAGGGTGCAGATCCTGTGGTTTCGAAGTCATTTCAATGTGGTAAGTGCGGTCACTCAGATATTAACTTTGTGTTCCGATATGCGATCAATGTCCCATATTGTGGTCTGAACGCTTGATTACATCGGAAGTTCAAACGCAATAGGGAGATGAGAAACCAGCACTGCAGGTTTATGGTGCACTGCTCAAATCATTTCGCATCTGTTAATATGAGGTTTCGTTTAATTAGCGTAACTCACAGCGAATATGTTGGTCGTGAAATATCGCTATTAGGTTTCAAATTATCATGTGTGTTTAATGACAAATTATTCCATTCTTGGAAAATAAATTTTGGATATATTGTAGCTCAGCTTGACGGTCAAAAGATAAGGTGTCATAAATGAAAAGCCAAAAGTACATTTTATTGGACATTTCTCTGAATTGTTAGTTCCTGAATATGTTATAAGTGGACAGAAGTGTTATAAGAGTTACAACATATTCAGGAAAATATGTTATATATTTTTTATTTTCTTTATTAGACTTTATATGTCATATATATAAAGTAATACCATCGGAATATGCATAGCGTGTCAAATATATATATATATATATATATATATATATATATATATATATATATATATATATATACACCTCTCCTTTGCCAAATTTTCCGATTTCGGCGACAGTACCCCGAGGATGGGAGAAGAGAAACCTCACCTACGGGTAATTCATTAACTGTAAAAAGCCCAATCTACTGTGTTGTTTTTACAACATTTGGACACGTATATATCTTCATACTTATGTAACTGAGATACTCGGCAAATTTCTTTCAGCTCTTCGAGGAGCATTTTGGAACAGGCTTGGAATAAATTTCCTCGTAGGATATTGAGTTTGTCTGCATGCATATTTAAACAATTACCTACAAAATTTGTTTGCAGTATTTCGACGGCCTGCCTATTATTTTGCTATCATTGAAAATAGCTAATGATATTGTATGATGTTTAGGCTTTTCAAAGAATCAAATGTTGCCGGTAATCGAACCCGAATTTTCTGGTACACTCTTTACTGTACTTGAAGCATTTGAGCTATTAAAATAGTCTATTCTTCAATCATATTTTCGTGAAAAATTATCTTTTAGCGAAAATTACATTATATTTGTTAAATTAAACGCAATTACATTTCAATAATTTTAACTTCTTGTTTTTCAACATATATACACCAAACACTGATGGAAGGTCGGTTTTTCAAAATGGTGAATCTACTAAAACATGCAACTGGCAGAATTTCTTTACGGAACCAAAACTTCACGATCAAAACGACTGCGAAGAATTCCCGGTTCCGTGCCTTCTTCACAAACTGAAAGATATTCGAGTAAACCGGTGCTGGGTAGCGCCGTAGACAGTTTTCCACGGGTTAATTTCTGCCTGTGATCCTGAATAAAAACTCAATCTGATTCACATCATTGGACTGCACCCATAGTTGCATAAAAGGAAGGACTCAGATAATTCACGTCTGTTTTCGCCTTCGACTTTCTCGGTAAGGAACCGACACCGCCTTGACGCGAACAGAAAACATGTGAACGAAGAACTTCTTCCAAGACCTTCTGTTGAAATCCAACAATACGCATGGTAACACCATCAATAATTGGAAATTCTGACACAGCAGATAAACCCTGTGACAGTAAAAATACTATACATTGATCTAAGACATCCACATTACTTTCTTGAAGTATTTCAAAAAGCTCTTCTATTTAGTTCAATACGTCTACTATTGCCCCTGCGAAAGCAACTTTTAAACTGCGCGGGGCTTCTCTCCTGCATCGTTCTTAGATGCCAGGATTGCACAAGTGTTGCAAGCGTCGCTAGAGATCCCAGTTGATGCGCTAGTTATTAAAGGACCGCGTGACTGAGTGGGCGTTGAGAGTGTTTTTATTAGCGGCGACAACTTCATAACTACAACAAAAACACAATTGGTGTACGTTCTACAACACTCGGAACCATCACCTGGGGAGGGTGTACCGGGTCACGCTGTAGCGATCTTCTGCACATGCGCACTAAAGTGATTCACTAAAGTGATGAAAAACTTAACTATTCATGCGCACAAGATCGATAGAGCTTTAACATCGGAGGGTGCACAAACCTCTAACTTGCACCACCAATGGAACTCCGTAACGGCCGCCACTGGTTCAAATTAAAGCCCTAAATGTGATATTGAGCAGTTAACAGTTGACATAAATAGTTATTCCCGAATGTCTTAGGTAGACATCCTACTCGATACTGCTTTCATTCACAAAAATGAAACGTTCTGAGGAAGTATAGAATGATTAGGTAGCTTAACATGTGCTCACGACGGCAACCATGTAACTTTTTATGTGCTCACATCGGCGACCTTCTCACAAAATCATGGCTTTGATGCAACATGTCGCTTTCGTTTTCGTTTGTTTACCAAACCGTCATCTATCTTGAATCCACAATTTCACATTTTCTACAAAATGTCATAATTGGCTGTCTGTATTCCTTGTGCTTCGTTAGGTGACGCCTTCAAAACAAAAATTTTAATTCTACAAAAGTCCATGTCCTAAATCACAGGTATGTTTATTATATCCTAGGAATTTCCAATGTCCCATATGTATTGTTAATTTCGGCCTCGAACGTTTGTAAGAACTACTTTTCACATCATAATATTTGCAAATAATACTTCAATGTCCAATATAGCTACTTAATGTCCTCTTTGTGAATGTAGCATATTACTCTTTTACTTCCGACTCGGTAAGAATACTTCAAAATGTGTCACTATTCCACATTACTCTATTTAATAATTTCCTTGAGAAATCTGGATATATCTCAATATATCAGTCAAAATTTGTGCATTGTGAAATATAATCAAAATAGGAACTTTGGAGGAACTTTGTTCGGGGTAATAAATAAAAAAATGCATTTCACTTAATATGAATTATATTTTTATTAGGCATCAATACTTTTACAATTTTGTTTGAAAATACGTGTACGAAAAGATAATTCTTTATTCATTTATTCAACCTCCGAGATCGCGACGGCATGATTAAAATTGATTCAAGATGTCACAAAAGAAGAAACACAGACATGGATGTCGAATCAACGATATTTTAACTGAGGCATTCAAGGCATTTCGCAGATAAATGGGGAGACTATATCCAAACAATCTTGGTCATTCAATTGCATGTTACTCACGTACATTCCACCACAGTCTTCATCATCTTTGTTATTTGGTTCTCCTTCTGCCCATTTAAGGTATCCCGACGATTTAAGAGGTGTATCTGAGAAAATAAAAATAAACATTTATGATTTTCATATACACATCGCCCACTTTTATATTATTATTATTATTATTATTATTATTATTGAGCCTGTAAGGGGTTACTATTTTCTCAGTGGTGTAGAAGGTATTCCAGATTAATGATTATGACGAATATCTCATAAGCCAAGGGTTCTTTCATGCATTTCATATTTAATGAAAATCATGTATCTATTTTTTTCAACAACTCATGGATATCCCTTCCTTATACTTACTGTTGATGGTAACGACAAACTACCAGTCAGAACGTGCCTGGGCAATGGAGATCGTTACGTTATAAGCGATCTCGTGAACGTACTTTCGCTCAGCAATAGCAGACTGGCGCTCGCCGTCGTCGTCATCATTGTCAAACACCTAAGTTTTTCTAAGCGGTTACCAACTTGTTCATGTCAGATATTTACCTAGCACAGTGTAGTAGGCACCCTCATAGTCTAGGTCATGAAAACCCAATAGTACATAATTGTGTGGTGTCTGTTTGCTTGAGAGCATGCGTTCAAGGATGTCAGCTTCCTCCTGGAAAATACGCAATAAAATTCTACATTAATAATGTTTATATGAGAGAGAGACCCAATGGTCTGTTAAGAAATTAAATTAAAAGGATCACACATTGAATTCAGCGTGAACTCAACAAGTGACGTGAACCGTTAGCGCAACCTGGTCTGACGCAAGGTAAACGAGGGGGAACAATGCTGCTCTTCTGGCACCGTTTTTGGAAATGTTAAATTGTTGTTCTAATATTAATTCCTAAATTTTCCAAAATTTATTTATTTGAATTGTATACAAATTTTAAAATATTAAATTTTGTTTTCTCGTTAAATTTTCACTTTTTTATTCACGCACTATGTTCCCGTCTTCTAAGCTTAAGGTATTTTCACATTATTGACTACTTAGTGCAGAAACAATTACGTAGTGATTTTCATTTAAACTTACTATTATTTAAAAACGATATGCAAGACCCTTTTTAAAGTACTGATATTTTTGATCAGATTTCATATAACAAAAAAATATATCACCAATTTCATACATGTAAAATATTAATTTTTATTGTTGCCTGCAATTTTCAACATACAGAAAATTTGTCGAAAATGAAACCAGCACCACTTTCTTTGCTGTTCCTTGCTAAATACGAGGGGGGGAAATGGAACCGTTTTCGAGAAAATAATTGTTTCAATATTGCTTGATGAAAAATTGAAAGAACCTTATTTCAAGATCTACTTTTCATGAAAAAATTCATTTAGTAAATTCTATCTTCAATTGCCTTACCTGTAATTGCTATCGACTTTACTTTTGCAATTTTTAATATATCAATAAATTCAAAGAAATGAGACCTGCATCACTTCTTTCAAAATTCATCATATTCGAGGACAAAGTTTAAAAAATTTGGAGCCATTCGGAGAAAGTATTCTCCCCCGACATCAAAATATGTTTCAAACTCACAGGGCTTCGTTTTCGATCAGAACAATCGGAGAATATCAATTTTGGAAAGGTTGAAAGGTTTAGGTGCTATTATTTGCCACAGACGGAAGGACAGGCAGATATTTAACCGTCACTTTTTTGTTATGGAGGCTGACTACACAAAGTGTTTAAAAATGACGAAGTAATTTACTACATTCAGAAACAAGTTTTATCCACTTTTTAGTTACCAGGGCCTGGCAATCAGATTTTTTTATGTCGAAAAATCTCCGTAATCTGTAGGAAGTACACAAGAAAATAAAATACATAAACATTTGTTGACAAATGCTTCCTTTTTTTCTTTCATTTTTTTCTCACATAGAACGTTGTTTTATTAATAGAAATAGGTCCTATTTTTATTTTATTATCACCTATAGAGTTTCTAAACTTAAATTGTTATTTTCGAATCTGTCACACTTTTGTTGTTCAAACTAGTTATTTATTACTTTTATTATTTAGCACTTATTAGTTTTTGATACTAGATATAAATAATTTTACAACGTTCTGCTCTCTCTCTTCTATCGGCAACCGGCTATGACTTCCGTTTTGAAACCAGGAACTGTATAAAGAGGTATGGTGGAGGCCCTGGAGATTGACAAAGAAATCAACGGCGAAGCGCGGTTTCCAACTCCACGATGCTTGGCCATCAGTATTGTGGATAACGGAGACCCGGGAGATCGCCCTTGCAACCTGTTCTTTTCCGTCCGATCCTGGTCTGCGCAACGCTACCCGACCCGCCCGACCGTCTGATCCATGTCGTCCAAATCCAGATCGATCTCCCCTCCCCTCCCAACATCACTTCCGGTTCCGCCTGGTCAGCAGGCTAAGCAGCCAATCAAATCCCGATCCCTAGACATCCACCCGACCTCCCACTACCCTGGCTTACTCTAGCCCTGAAGAAGACAGTATAATAATGCAGGTGCGGTCTAATAATATTACACAATTGTTTCCAAAGAGCCAGAAAGTCTGTGCTGTTGTATCGCCACTATATTTGTGTTAGCACACTATCTTTTGTAGAGATTTTCATCTATTGAAGTTTTCAACTCTCGGCAATTCAAAGATCCTCAAATGTTACCCAATTTCAATTTTATGTGCCGTTCTGACATTACGCATTTTAGGGATCAGTGTTAAGTTGTATTCTAGGTATATAATATAGGCCCTATGAGCGGATGCTTGCCTTTTGAATATTTCAAGCCCCACCCATCCTGTAATTATCAATTCTTACCATGAGTATTGGAATGGGAGCGCTTACCTGCGAGTTAATGACTGCCAAGTGCGCCCCCTCCCTCTCACACGTCGCTTGCGCGTTGAACCAGTTGAGGGGGGTGAGGTGCACGCGGTAGGCGCCGTGCCCTTCGTGGCGCTCGTACCCCAGCGCGGTGGGCTTATCGCGCGACGGGCAGGCGGGGCACGGCGGCGAGATGACGACCGGCGGCGGGCATTGTTGGGGCGCGGGGCACGACGGGCAGGCGGGGCACGGCGATGAGGATGCCGAAGGGCACACAGGGGTCGCGGATGTAGGTGGGCAAGGTGGGGCAGGCGGGCAGGAACTCTGTTGAGGCTCGAGGTTTGGCTGGGTCGTGGGGCAGGCTGGGCAGGGCGAGCTCACGTCGGTCCACGGGATGGGGTCTTGCGAAGAGTCGGAGCCACCTGCAAAAAACGAAGATGGAGATAAGACTATAGAGCCTCGAGAAATAGCGGATGAGAAAACAATCCGTTTCTCGTGTACTTTCAAAGTTAGATGTGATAGGGATTTTTTGAAAACATTCACTTTCCCCCCTTATAATTAACTTTATTATATATCTAATAAAAATAATATAATATAATTATTTATTGATGTATAGCTTTTTAAAATTTCTGAACTCCGTAACAGGTTACTCTACGAATAACGACTAAATCTTTGCTTGAAAAAATAAAAGTTGATTAGTCGAGGAGTGTGCTTCGTACGTGGCGTTGTGCTAGCTGTTGGTGGGCACCTGTGAGCGTGGCCTGCAGAGTGACAAGGCAGTGTGCTTCGTGCGTGGAGTTGTGCTATTTGTTTGGGCGCACCTGTGAGCGTGGCCTGTAGAGTGACGAGTCGTGAGTCTCCGACGCCGCGGCGGGACGAACGCCGCATCTGCAGCTGCATAGGGGGCTGCATCCTCTGGTCCCCGTTCTCACCCGGCCGCCCCACCACGTGCTGCAGACGCACCTGTAGCACCACGAGCACTCTCTAAATTCCCAATACTTCCGCTTGACCGACGCTCAAGTTCTGTGGTCGTTAGGTCAGTTAGCGTAGTGAATGTCATATAATAGTGACATTGTCCTCCTCTCCTTACAAAGAAGGAGGGAAGGACGAAGCGCTGAAATACCTGTCGGCATGGAAATACGGGTCGGACGTTCAGGGAAGTTATAATTTATTATGGGCCTTAATACTAATTTGCTGCCTAATTTTTTATTAAGTAATAGTTAATAATACATAAAATATTTGCCACAAGACACCTCTGTTAGAGCCCTATGGTCACGTGAAAATAATTAATCAAGGGATCTGAACTGCGTGAAAAGAAATAATCATGTGACTGGAAATTCAAATACAGAGCCGTAAAAATAGAAGACTATCTGTATATGGATCAGTATTTTTAGTATATAATTAAGAAAAAGGATTTTGTTGAAATAAATATCTGTGATTTAATTCACTACCAAGAATCTTACAATATTTTTTATACTGAAATCCAAGAAATTATATATATATATATATATATATATATATATATATATATATATATATATATATAACGAAAAATGTTAGTAAAAACTTTTCATGTGATTATTTGATCCATTTTTGGGATTTAATCAATAATTTTAAGAATATCTTTGACACAAAATAGAGATTTATAGACATATACGATAACGATATTTTTATTGCACAAGCATGCCAAAATAACTAAAAGTCGGACGGATAAAACAAAACATGTAATCAAATGTGACTAGGACACTTACCCGTCCATGTACATTTGTTCGAAATCTCCCGACAATGATCACTTTCTTGCATACAGTGCTTTCTTTATCAATTTTTATGATATGACGTGACGCGTACACTTTAACCAAACAGTGGCTGAAGGGCGAAAAAAGAGGAGACTAATGCGTCATGTTGTGAAGACCAAATGAAAGAGAGGACGAATGCGCAATGTAACAATGTACAGAAAAGTAGGAAAGTTCAGGACACATGCATATAACCCAGGCAGAGCCCTTAGTGCGAAAGAAATGGAGGCGACGAATGTACCTTGGCTATCCGATCGCCGTAGCAGGGAAAAAGAGAGCAGAATGCGCGTACAAGGCCAGCAACTGTCCGTAAGGAAAGGATGGAACGCGGGCGCCTTGGCTAGACAGTGGCCAGCACGAAAAGGACGAGGGACGCACGCACCTTTGCTAGCCAACGGCCAGAAGCGTTCAGACCGCTCTGCAGCAACAGCTCGGCTGTTTCCCCTGCCTCGCAGCCGCTCCCCGAACACAGCTGCGCGCCTTCAGGCACCTGCGGCCGCGTCTCCTGGTCCAGAAGCTCCGCCCCCGCCTCCGCGTCCCCCACCGCACTTACGTTTCCAATCACGGCCGCCTGCACCGTCCACGCGCTCAGCACAGCCGCCACCAGCACGCTCCACCTGATTATGTACGTGCACCTCTTAACATCGCAGTTCTTACAACCTACGTAGTTGTAGTAACCACTACTACCATTCAGTATTTAAACCCATCTTGGAAAACAATTATAAATATTCCTTACGCAACAGTTTTAAATTCGTTTTTCAGTTGCGAGAACTGACAATCTATTTCAATTCCAGAACTGTAACTTTAGATGTTGCAATGTTTCCATCGATACCTCATTATTTAATCCATGAAAATGCTTTCATTTTTTTTTAAATTATCGTAATGATTTTTTAAAAATTTGTTGCATCTGCGTCTGCGTCCAAGCCCGGGGGGCGTTTAGCGTTTTGCGCTTGGGAGTAGTCCTGCATTAATAATCGCGCTATTTATACGAGTAATCTACATTAACATTATGTGTCATGTCACGTCACGTCTCGTCTCGTCGCAGTCAGCTGTCAAGAGGACCCCCAAGTAGTATCTTCGCGTACGCGCCTCCTACTACGCGCTCCTGCGTCACTACCCAGCGGCCAGAATTGGGAAGGAATTAGGATAGGGGTAGGATTTAAGACACTTCACAAGGATTGGACCTTGTGAAGCAGCTTAACTCGTTTTGTTGGAACAAATTTCATATGAGATTGTCCGGGAATCGAACCCGGATCTCCTTGGATGAAAGGAGATCGACTTTGTTCTGAGCCACCACATCAACAAAGAGATTTCTCTAAGATCCCAGCACATGAAGTTATTACAGTCCTTAGAATAATTTTAAATAAAATAGAATTTCAATTAACCAAATTTTTGGATTGCCGGTTCGGATGGCGGAGATAGCTAAGGCAGTAGTGCTGTAGTGGTCTCGGACCAAGGGATCGCGGGTTCAAAACCCGCCTCCGGCATGGTTGTATTGTGTTCGTTCTTTCACCCCTGTCATCATCATATCGTGTCATTCTCACAGTTACCGTACCGTTACACGTCATAGAGGTCGCTAATGCCCAAGAAGTTGATGCCACCTTAAATAACAAAAAAATATTAATGGACTATTACAGAAATTCAATTATTTTAATGATAAAATAAAATTACCTTCAGAAAATGAAACAAATTGTTCTTTAAATATATTATGTGTGAGAGTTTTTAGAAAACATTCAATGTTTGAATCATCTTGGTACAACAAATCTTTTTTTTCTGGGCTTAGGTTTAATTATTAATATAAAAATTATTTTCTTATCAAGAAACATCAAATTTAGTTGGCATCAAGCATTTTGCATCAAATTTAGTTGGCAGATCAATCAAATTGTCGTCTCCCCGGTTCTATACTTGTAATTTACGTTGTGTTAGAGGTACTGAAATTCAATGACTACCCTTTAACTTCGTAGAAAAAAATGTTACCTAAAATACTAAAATTGATTATATATGAGAAACCTTGCAGTAATACTACCATAAAATTTCGAGGTAAAGAATTTATCAATAATTTGATATATTTACCCAACAGCTCCCAAGTAAATACCATTCTTACAATAGAACTTTTGACCAAATTCAAATTTACTCTAGTAAATAGTGATATATATGTGTCGTAGTCCAAAACGTGAAGAGAAATTAGACATTAACATCGTAGTTTATCAAGTCAATTGTACGGATTCTAATAGTTCATACTTTGGTCAGAGTAAATGTATGTTGAGCACAAAATGACTGGAACATAAAAGAAACATAAAAACCCTGCTTGTATATAAACTTGACATCACGTGACTACAACTTCACATCACGTACATTTCCAGGAGATACAGATTCCAGTTCTGAATGCATGTTATTGTTATCATTACAGTCAGGGTTAACAATCAAGGACAAGTGCCGCCACACTGTGTTTCTATTCTACGAGAATCATTTTGACATATTAGCATTTTTGCATATTATCAATGCATATACAACAGTAACACACTATTTGAAGAGGGTAATAACACGGGTGGAAGAAATAATGGTTAAGAACACTAACTGTTAACATATACAGCTATAAACTATGAGTAAGGTCCAAAGGTGACCAACAATATGGCAATATATTTCGTAAATAATAAATGCTGTATTTCCCAAAGAACTATTTTTATACAATTTTCAGTCACGCAGAACTCAAATCATAATGAAGTTGGGTCTTTGTTCCTTCTTATTTCATTCCGGATATACATTACGCAGAGAAACGTTTGAATATTTTACCTATTATATTTCGTTGCCAATCATCATATTTTTAAGGTAAATCTGAGAAATATAGATAATGTTTAATTTATGTCGCAATAACCACTTGGGTTATTAGCGAACAAGAATTTAAGAACATATTTTTAGACTTACGTGTAGAGCATTGTTGTCAACTTTCCCCTCAGTCGACGAAATAAAGTAGAAATTTTTATTCCAACTGGGTGGTCCTCGTCGGTTACTTAGTGCCGACTGCCATTAAATAGTCAATCTCTTCAGATTAACTGCCAAACGTTGACCCGGAAAACATTCAGTATTTACGTCATGAGTTTATCATGTGCTTCTATTCCGAGAAAGAGGTCTGCATGCACAGTTAAAACATCAAAACTATATTGAGCCAAAACCTATAATCGAAAAAGTAGCAAGAAGGAAATCCGTCAAGTTCCGATCCGTCTAATCAGCTAACAATAACAGTTATAATATTGATTAAATCGTAAAGTTAATTGTTGTGAAACTCTTATCCAATCTTCAGTGGATCAATAATGTGAAGGAAAAAGTGAGAAAATAACATAAAGTATGGAGAATAAAAGAAATGGACAAAAATATGAAATAAAAATGTCTAATAAAAATAATAATAAATAAGTGAAAATGAATAAATTCTTTCTACCGTACCAATGTGGATCACCCTTAAACAGGACAGTAAGAAATGAGCTGGAAACGCTAGGAGGTCGATTTATTATTGTTTTATCATTTTATCTCGTATATTTGTTTTATTTCTTGTATGCTCCCATTTGTTTTTGTCTTTTTAACTTTTTATTTCCCTCTCTTTATCTCTCCTAATATCTGCAGAATGTATTGAATTATATGTTAGGAAAGTCAAGTAGTTATGTAAGAGTATCTTGAAAGGATTACTGCTCTATCTGAACATTTTCATTAAGTATGAGGTTACATTTAACAATGAAATAACGCAATTATATGGAAAGACCGGATGTAGTATTTTTTTTTCAATAGAATATCCGCATTTTGATAAAATTAGCATTGTTGTTTGCATAACGTGACGTATATACAATGGTTACAAATAAAATTATATATCACAAATGAGTTTTATGACTTTAAAATTGATATTCATATGAAAGAGAAGTTTTCCACATATGATGAGAAGGGCAACGTAATGCATTGCAATCACTAAGGGTAAGGATTTAATAATTAAATTTGTTCAAAGGGTAAGAATTTATTTAGATACAAGCATCGTATTACAAAACAAAATGGAACTAGTAACGCTACAGAATGGCACAGTCATTCTCGACCTCGTTAGTTTTCATATGACTTCACAGTAGGAAATTATTTCCGTTTACCCCACTCCCTTTTCAGCTCCCTTCAGCTATTGGTGCCCAAAGACATTATTTTATGTTTTCACAATTCTTAGATCTATATTATTACTTTCTCGCAACTACTAACGTACGAAGACGTGCACCGGAAAACTACGACTTTTCGACACAAAAAATCTTATTTCTGGGCTTTGGTAACGAAAAAGTGGATAAATCGTCACTAAATATAGAAAAAAATTCCTCTACCACGTGGTGTAGCTAGAACACATGTTTTGTGGGTACTTCATACTCAAAAATCTATTGACGGCAAAATATCTGGCTATCCGTCCGTCAGACCTGTCCGTTCGTCCGTCCGTCTGTGCACAACGCTAGCGCATAAACCGTTCGGCCGATTTTCTCCAAAATTGATATTCTCCAATCGTTCTAGCTGATGTCGCGGAGTATGAAATGTCCTGGAGTATGAAATCGATATTTTAGTTTTACTAAGAGAGTACTTTACTTGCCACCCCTGAGACATTTTCAAAATTTTTAAAAAATTAGCTCCAAAATTATTTGATTAAGTTTTGTTGGTGCAAAGGTCGTTTATGAGAATGGTGCAGATCTCATTAATCAGTCAGAACGGAAAGAAATATAGTGCTAATCTCAGCTCGATTTTTTTGAAAATTGCAATTAAATATTCAAAACTCCAACCTTGAAGAGAAAGATTTTGGCTTCAAAGTCACTTGTACAAAATTAGCTGTTTAAAAAAGGTCATGTACAATTCTTTTTGTGGGGAAAGTAGTTTTTGCGTTATTTCTGGTTGAAATTAATGAAATATATACCGGTTTCACACCAACTAGGGGACATGAGAAAAATTGATTGAATGATACGAAAAATAATTAAATTATTTGAATTACAATTTTCTATTAAAATTTTCAATATTGAATAAAATGTTTGCTTTCTTGCACTTTTACTTGAGAGGGCGTGCTTTATTTAGTTACATCAGCAGGCACGGGTTGCACTCCGTGCGACATCGCGATTTTTTGATTTTTGCATAGGGAGGAAATATCTAATAATATAACTATAGTATGAAATTCTTTAACTGCAAGTATAGAATAACTGAAAATAATTTTCAGTAATTTCTATTATTAAGATTTATATTTTATTTCTACGAGTAATACATTTTTTTAAAATCATGTACCTAATTGCGCATTGTAAACTCATCTGACATCAAAATATGCTTTGTACAGTATTAGAACATGTGATGTAGTGATAAATACACCTTTTGTGCTGTTTGCATCTGAATTATCTACACATTTTAAACCTGAGTATTGTTGTCGTATTTTTCCTGCCACATTTCACGTATTTGCCACGTTTTCTGTCTGATTCTTGCTCTGCTGTTGCTATACCTACTCAAGAACATACAGATATCCAAAGGTAGTGGAATAATTTTTACTCTTTCACGCATACAAGTTTTAAGCAACAAAAATGCCAAATTGTGGAAAACGTTTCTGCGGCCTCTTACACAGTCGTGCTTGTCTTTTATCAAGAGAACGAGTACATTCACAGCTGCAATGTCCAATTATCTGAAGTATAGAGGCATTGACCCCCTAAGAATGCTTGAACGGAATAACAAACTGCGAATATGACCAAAGTGTCTATTTATTCTTTTGTAGCATTATAATGCACGATGATGCATGGTTCTCGTATCTCAGTCTACGATATTTGTAATGCAATGTTTAAAGGAAGCACTACCACTATACTTCTCTTCGGCACACATGAAACTAGAATAATATTATTCTGGAATCCCAGAGAAGATTCACCTACTTCTCGTGTTTTCGTAGGTAGAAACTCAGGTGTTTTTCCGTCCCTACTTCTGTCGAACCAATCTCTAATTGCCGTTTTAACAAAAAATAGCTTGCACAGAAATTGTCTCTTGTCATGTTACTGTTGATCTTTCGTATATGTGAGTCTAGTCTCACAGCAATATCATTCGAAGAATTTGACCCTTGATAAGGGGTCCCATCCTTCTGATTTCCGCAGAGGTCCCACACGTAGGTTTCAATGACACGCTGACTCCCTGATAATATAACGGTGGAACGGAGTGCAACGGACAGCGTACGCTGCGACAGAAGGCGCCAGGAAACTGGTATCGTTGTGTTGGAGATAATTCCATCAACGTTCGATGACTGGAGCTCTGCTTTTGGAATACTTTCCGTGATCAACTCCGAAATTGTCCCTTAAAGTACATGAGACGCAATAATATATGCGTGTTGCACTCCGTACAACAGGGAATCCGCTCGAGGGTTCATATTCTTCAATTTGTATTATCAATGTATTGATGTTTATTTCAATGTATTTTTATTTCTCATGTATTTCCATATTTCATATATCTTTGTTCGTTTCTTACATTGGACCTTTTGTTCTTCATTTACTCATTAACATTTTAGAAATTATTTAAAACCTATTAGAGATACTGCTAGCTTTCAGGGAATATCAGATTGTAATGCTACAATGACTCGTCAACAATGTTTCGGAAGCTCATGTTTGTAATTTGGGACTTATTGTTAGGACATGAATTACCTGCATGAAAATCAGTCATAATTGTCAAAATTGTGTAGTGATTGGTTTGAAAATATTTAGTTTTTGCACTATTATATGATTTGTAATGAGTAGGATTGGGCAGTATATAAATACATGTATATGAAATACGTATTTTAAATAATTCACATATTTATCCACGCCACTTGAATGACTTTTCATTTGCAGGTTCTTTAATATTATTTAACTAGGGGCTTTTTGTCTAATGATTTGTTTGAAAAATTAGTCTTTTTTAAGAAAAAGTCATTGCTTTGTGTTAGACATATTGATATCATTCTATATGTTAAAATGTTTATACATATGGTAACAATACATTACAATATTTATTGTTCAGAAATTCGTATGACTACAAAATCTCACTCTGCAACTCTTCAAATAACAAACCATTATCCCGAAGGCAGAAGTGCGCACGCTTTTTAGCGTGCTTTTTAGCGATATATACTCTCTGCTTTTTAGAGGATCGGGGTGGAAACGCTCAAGTCGGCAACCAGAGAGTATATATCGGCAACACCGTGCGGGTAGCGCGCTTCATTCAAAACGAACGACAAATTTCTTAATAAGATTTCTTACACTTGTTTGTACTGGGAGCAATGAAAAGAACCTCACTTCTAGAAAATCTTACCTTTGATAATAAGCTTAGATTTTCAGCAAAGCAGAAATTTGATGAATATGATGCGAATATAAATTTTTCAGGATAGAAATTAAAATGTAGAAAAGTTTTGAATTTTTGCAACTTTTGAAAATCTGGGTTTTTAACGAAAATGAGATCTGCGCCAATCACATAAATATCCTTCATACTATGGAACAATAAAATTTAATCAAAAACGTTTGAGGAATTTTTTTTGTTTTGAAAATGTCCCAGACACTTCATGTAAAGGAAAAGAGATAGCTAAAATTTGAAATGATAAAACGCTCATTAAGTTTTATAATTTATTTTAAAAAATGAATTACATAAGTAGTATAAAATATATTACACAAGTATTACAAAAGGCAAGTATGTGCTTAGAACCACTAGTTAGAATTGAAATATTATGAGTTTAAGAATAATATTGAAAAAAATATTATCCTATATGTGGATTTTCATGTACTAAAGATTCTAAAAGAAAAAAAAACAGGAATCTTTATCCACAGATTTAGGAAGAAAATGTTTGTAACGAAAATATATTAAGGATAGCAACTCTTAATAGCAGCACCTTTTGAAACCAAGAAAGAGAATTTGACCAAGAAAAAAGGATTCGTGGTCATCAGTATGGCCTAATTGTTCTATGTTACATTAGAAAATATGGAGAGACAATAGGTTTTAAAAAATGGTGACGTTTTTTCATATATTGGTACTACGAAAAGCCACAGAGGAACAGGAATTATTATCAACCAAAAAGTTAAAGAAAACATAGAATAAATATTAGGAATTAACAATAGCATCGCTGCACTAAAACTGAAATTCGGGAGGTGAATAAAAACCTACATTCTAGTTCATAATAAGCAAGACCAAACACTTTTCTTGAGATCAAAAATTAATAAAAGCCTGAGATCTTTATCAAGAGATTTTTGTTTGTTTTTTTTCAACCAATGATTTTGTAATTTTAGTAATTTAATTATTTCAGAAATTTCTTCTTCTAGCAATCACTAAAATCAGAATTTTTTTCATTTTATATATTTGGTGTTAATAGTAATTTAAGTATATTTTGTAACCTAAGAAGGGAACAATGTATATAAAATTATTGTAACATAAACTAAGCAATATGCAGCCCCTCTCTGGGGAGCCAGGAGGCACTTGTCCTAAATTAGAATTGTAATGGGTAAATAATAATAATAATAATAATAATAATAATAATAATAATAATAATAATAATAATAATAATACAATAATACAATAATAATAATAATAATAGTAATCTAACTGATCCCTTTCAATTACATTGTGCAAAAAAGAAAGAACTTTAAGTTACAATTAAAAAGTATACCATATTCAGTGTATGGCGATTAGAAATTACCCATAAATATGCTTTCAAGTCGCTTAGTTTTATTGTATAAGGCTAATGAAATGAGGTAAATTTACAATTCTGGAACAACACAGTCACTACTTACTATGAATAATGATTTAAACATGTTTCGTAATTGAAATGTTTTATATTTTTGATCTCGACATATAGTAAACTACATCATAAAATCCTGTTATCCATTTTAATTTAAAAATGTAATGCATCGCATATAGTATTGTAACCACCACGGAATTTATTTTTGCATCGCATATAGTTGTGAATGTTTTTGACATTTTAGGGTAGGACTCATCCAGCTTTGGCGGCTTGCGGCGATCTCTGGCCTGGGCCTTGTTTTAATTTATTATTCGCGCCTGGCTGAAAGAGAGATCGTATGTGGCGAGGTTGTGTAACCCCAGCAGCATTTCAAGCATACTTGGCAAGCCTGAGCTTTTCCCCTTACAAAGCTTTTAAAACTGAGACGATTGTAATCGAGAGCTAAAGCTCAATTTCTGGAACCAGGAACAGTCACTATTATGATTAATTTTGTGAAAGAACATATGTTTCAAACACTTGCTAGTGAATGCGTTATCACAATTTCTACGTATGCATTTAAAAACACTCTATCTTCAAACTTAAAAACTCTCTTCTCTTCGCTTTCCATAACCTCATACTCACAATATACTATTATATACTGACAAAATACCCGGATTTGCCTGGACTTGCTGTCGGGAGTGGCCCCATGTGTCTTACATGTTGAATGGGCCGGTTCGTCCGAATACTTATCTCAAATGCACTTGCTGCACAATGCTCTGCCATATGGAAACATGGGCCCCATTACAGACATTCTTGAACATAGAGTGACTCATTAGAGAGTGTTCCGAATGCTCGGACGTGTTCTCGCAAACGTTCATTCCTTCTGACATGGATACACTTTGACCGGATTCTAAAATTGGACTTCACTGCCACGGCTAGCACTAGACGTAGAGGCGAATGTTCACCTAAGAACACCCGGAGACCGCGAAAAGTAGTATTTTGGTCCTTAGCGCTTCTTTGTCAGTTGAAAACAATTATATACAGAATTGCCTGAATGAAAATAACTGTTCAAAATTATTTTGTAAACATTTCTCTACATCTCTCTATATAAAGACAGTTTGCAAACTTATGACAACTGACAAGAAATGACAACTGTAACTCAATTTCATTATGAAAATATTCTACAATTTTTTTTCCATCTCCTACAACATTTTGACATACTGAAGCTTTGGGACATTTTTTATTAATCATACTCAATATTGTTTCACAAGATATGTATTAAAAGGACATAAAATGATTTACATACTATTTTCTTCACTACTTTTTACCTAATCCTTTTATACACATATTATACATTTTTCTTAGTAGGATAGGTATATTTTGGAACATTCAATAACGTACCATTTGAGGTTCAATGAGTACTAGCTTATCGTATGTAGAGCGCAAATTTGTGAAACAAAAGATGTAGCATTATAAACAAAATGTATGTAATTTTGTGCAATGTAATTTTTCCAATTTGTTAAAGTAAAATGTAATTTAATATTTATATTATATTGAAATATATTTGATGTTTTGAATTTTAAGTAAAGTTTAGAAGTGAGTTTTTTAATACGTGTTAGAATACTTGTAAGAAAATATATAATGTAATCGTAATTAAAAAAAAAAAAATCTTTACTACTCCCCCCCCCCGTTTGTCCGCTATTTTTTGGAAGGAGACCTAGCAACACAAGTCAGGAGCTTAGAACTTGTCCCACCAGGAGCGATACCCTTCTGGGAGGAGACACTTGGAAGTGGAAATTACCTACAAGCTGAGGTTTAGGTCAGCACCAGATCCAGTGCGGAAGGAATAACCACCAACGCACGAGAGAGAAAATTCACTACGCACGTGACTAATGACGTAATCAGGCAATCGAGTCGCGCGTCGGAAACCAAAAGCGTTGTCACAAGGAAGTTTTCAGTCAACTCCTTATAATGAACTTTCACTCGTCATTTCCATCACCACCGAAACATAAGATCGTGTGCGACAGAGCTTCGCAGCGCGTGCCCTGCTGAGCTGATATTCGAGCAGATGTTGAGCAATATTTGTGGTACATGCGGCAGTGAATGTACGACTACTACGTCAGCAATGAAGGTTGTGATGGTTCTTCTACCTTTGGTTTTGTTATTTCTAGGCCAACAGTCTCTCCTCCGCTCTGACGCGGATCTGTCATTAAGTGACAATGCCTTGAAGCTGCAAGCGACTTTAAAGTTCGTATATTTTAACTTAATCTAATAATTTAACTTAACTTAATCTAACTTTAACTTAATCTAGCTTTATCTAATACTCAAAATCACTTAAATCTATGACGTAATGCTTCTGTGACGTTTTCCATCACTTGGCGATGTCACGATGTATGACAAAATGAAAATGGTTATCTCAATCTTAAAAAACAATTATGTCCTTGTATCCTACCATCCAATACACAGGGTGCAGAAAAAGGGAATGAAAATGTTTTATGTAAATAAAAATTGCAAATAAAATATACTGTGTAAAATGTATTTCATAAAACATTAACGCATTACATTATCGTAATTATTGCCAGTCAAGGCTTCAATGATATGCAGTGGCGGCTCGTGGGTATTCGCTCGTTCAGATGTGCACGCCCAAATTTATTCAGTGCAATTTTTCTTAAACATCTCTTAACAGGTCCTCTCAATTCCGAAACATAGTATTTCAAAACACGCACCGTTCGGATGCAGCGATTACGGTCCGCCGCCAATGGGCTTCGTGACAGCCAGCCGGCGCACATTCGGGGAATGCAATCAGGCCAAGGGCGTCGGGGCCAGGTCGGGGCTGTCCAGGGCCCTATAACTCCCATATAACGTGGTGGAAACCATTGTGGTGGCGCGCTCTGCTGCATCGCCTTCTTTACATGAACTAAAACAGGAACTGTTGCCATCGATACTTTTAACGTGCGTGACTGCTGCGTGAGTTCGCGGGTCGCAAGCAGGATCATAATGTTACAAAAGATAACGTTTACGTTCGCGCTTTCTTCAGAGGTTTCTTACAAGTAGACATTATGAAGAATTGTACATTTAGAAGACACTTTTCGTATTTCTCACAAATTAGCCAATTTGTATGTGGGAATGTTGGCGAGCCTAACCTGCAGCTGCACCCGGCGACACTAGCGCTTCCTATAGTAGCAACCTCGAGCTTTGTCCCCAATTTTGATAGAGAGTTGCCGGGCCATGGGGCTGTCAGCGAAAGAAGGGTGAACAACGGTGGCTCATGTACGGAAGGAGCAGCCGGGCGGCGACGCAATCGCCACTGCGCAGACGCAGTTGCCGTCTGTGAGTGCCTTGACATGCCGCAAAGATACAACACTCGGCTAGCACAAGTTTTTAAGAGAAATGAGTGAAGAAAGTGTGAGATATCTCTACATTTAAATGAACTCTCATCCCTTCCGAAGAAGTTCTTTGCTAGCGCGCGAGAGGCGAACGCATTTCTTTGCAATGATGCATTCATAAGTATTGAGTTAATCGAATGTCATGTGCACATTTTCTTATGTTTTATAGCTAGTTGCAATTATAAATCCATTAGAAGCATGTGAAAACTGAAATGTAATTTGTAAACGTATGTAGTTAGGTACTTTATAATGCGCTTTGAATACCGAGGTTAGTGTTCGTTTTTCTTTCAAGTGTGTTTGTCTAACTAACAATGAATAGCGTCGAAAACATTAAAATGCCATCAATGAAAAAATCACAGAAAAAATGCTGAAAAGAAACAGTTTTTACTGAAGCGACACAGATTCTGGAACATCTCGAGTCATCTCGCGGTAACCTGATCCAAGTCGTAAATATTTCGGAGGGGGCCTCGCCGAGCGAAATGGAAGATATCGTGAAAAGAAATGCGGCCCTAACTACTGATAAAAGGAACTCTTCAATATGCTATCATTCTTCATAAGATGCCTTGTGTTTAATTGTCATTATTTTTAATAATAAATAAATGCGTTTGCTTGTAATGTATTCCTGTATGCATGGGCATGTGTGTATGTGCGTGTATTTATGTGTGTGTGAAAGAGAGAGGGGAGGAAGGGAGCGAAAAGAAAGACGGTGCACAACCTAATAGCATGACCACGAGTCGCCACTGTTCACATGAAAAACAAACATTACACATTGATAAGTGAAACTATTTTTAGGTAATTCTTGAAATATAGAGATCACAGTTTATTTATTATTAATTTTGGGATGTGAAATTATAAATTATCAACAAATGAAGAAAAATATTGTTGTGTAAATTAAAATTTTTTTTTCGCATGATTACTCAACTTTCAAATAGTACTTGATTGAAATAATTGAAATATTCCGAATTCAGATCAGTTCCAAGTTAGCGCACATATAAAGCACCGATATAATTGTCTGCTATACCTTGAGTTGATTATAACACTTGTTTTTCCTCATGGCATTTCACAGATGAATGGAAGTATTTCTTTACATGGGTGGTCATTGTAACCCATATTACTCACGCTAAATCCACCACAGTCTTCGTTGTCGAGGTTGTTTGGTTCTCCGTTGTTCCACTTGTTGTATCCCGACAATTTAACTGGTTTATCTTCAAAATGAAATTAGTAAAATTATTAATTATTATCGTTTGATATACTACATTAAATTGTATATATAAATTTATTTGGCAATGAACGACTTAACTTATGACTATATTTGCATAAACAGGCTATGTTGTGCTACGTTGTGCTAATGATCGAATGTGACAAATTCACGAATTAGCCGCAACGGTTCACATGAATACAAAATGGGTGATTAAAGCCGAAAATGGAAATAGTTCCGGGGAAACCACGAAAATCCCCGGTCAGGGTGGCTGGCCCGGGGAGAGAGACAGGGAGAGAGAAAGAGAAACAGAGAGAGAGAAAGAAAGAAAGAGAGGTAGGGGTAGGAAGAGAAGGGAGGGGAGGGAGGGAGAGGGAGACAGAGAGAGAGACAGACAGACTGATGGACTGACTGACAGACAGACAAAATATTATGAGATTCACCTTCCTGTATACGAGAATTGAACATTTTCCGATTTGTGGCAGCGAGTTTCGGGCCTTCTAGTTTAGCGATTCATATACAAACAACCTTGAATTTGTTGAACGCAAAATTTCCAACGAAATTTTAAAATTAATATTTAATAATTTATAAAATTAATAAAAATAATTAATAAAATATGGCTAATTTAAAATTAATTAATAATTTTTAAATTAGCCATATTTTATTTATAGCCGACATATCAGTCAAATAATACTAGCAAAAGCCTTCACTAAACATATTTATAAGTTTTACAAATTATACTCATCTTTACACATTGAACAGATTTGTTTAAAGGACTCTCGGAATAAATGTTGCAAACGCCTAGAACGTGTAGATAAATTGAAAATGTTTTCTTTTGGCTCAATGAACCTGTGGTCAGAGATTTCATGTAACAATAGCAAAATAACATTACGGGTATTTACTACTAATTATTAGGCAACTCCCGAAGCACTACTGTTCACCAGGTCGTGTTCTGCGGTAGTCCTAGAGATTTTGTGTACTTGCCAAATTGAGGCGCTCGCAGAGTTTAATTTCATTTCATTTATTTTGTCAATGGACAATGAAATAAATATGTAATGTGTGGGAGTGAAGGAAATTCAGGGGCTAGGTTCAAACAATCAGGAGAATTTCCAAACAATGTAGGACAAATGATATAATAGTAAATTTCCTCCACTTATTAATTGGCTGGCAAAAGGGGGATCAACATCGATCCCGCAACAAGCCCTTGAAGTTTTTAAAATTTTTTCTGAGACATCTGTATACTATTTAGGAACGTATATTGTTTCCTATAAAACGTAATATGAAGATTTGTTGAACTCGTTTTAATATTTTTATTTTTAAGAAGATTTAATACTTGTGATCATTGAATGTAATAATGTTAATACATTTATTACTTTTACGTTTTGTATGATTATGTTTTTGTGTTATGGGTTACTGTATTCCTTATTTCTTTTACGTATTGATCATTATTTGAAATATTATATATATATATATATATATATATATATATATATATATATATATATTGGCGTAGAACTGAGGTGAAAGCCAAAAAACAAATTTACTTACTACAACTTGTAAGTTTCTGGCGCGTAATCAGTGTTGCTACTTTCAGTATAACTCAGAATAGCTTAATTCAGAATGGCTCAGTATAGCGTATTCAGAATAGCGCAATCAGTATAGCTACTTTAATGCTTTTAGCGAGAGTCTTAGTCTGTTCTGTACGCAGACTTGGTTTATTGATGAGCGTACGAGTGTCTACAGTTGGCAATTCTCCATTTTGAAGATGAACACTGAACTTTGAAAGCTCGCGGTAGTTATAAATTTGTTGGATATATTTCGATCGATTAGCAGTAACAACTGCTACATCGATAAAATATGCCATCTTGTTCCATGTTCGTCATCAGGTTATCTTATGATAAACTCTGTGGTCAGTCAGTATTATGTGTATTAATATAGTTTAAATTTTCCGTTTTCAACGATGTTCTGTGAACCGTGTTGGAAACAAGAAATATAAAACACTATATTATTTTGTCAGATATCCTGTTATAAATTCTCTGGATTCTGATTCTGCCACACCATTACAACTAAATACCAGTGTGGCCATGATAGTGACACGTATTCAAAATCTCCGAAAGGCAAACAATTATATAATTCAATTTCATCATTTTGCAATATGTTTAAGAGTTAACGAGATGTGACGATGTTGGCGGCTGAATACGGGTTTCCTGCTTTAAATGCGTAGCTGTCCTTGTATCAAATATGCATGGTCCCTTGTTTCTAGTTGCATTCATGCACTGTGTCGAGAACGCATTGTAGTTCTGGACACCTGCATTGAATCATTCATTTGAGTAACTCATCAAATGCCAAATTCATCATTTCGAGAAATCTGAAAAAAAGTCTCCCAATTTTTCCGATTTTAAAATATTTTTATTTATTAAAACAGTCGATAAATGAATATTTTTCATATAAGTATGAACTAAATGAGTCTCTGTCTTCTTGAAACAATAATCCGTCACTAATTTAGATTTTGGCGTTTGACGAGTTTCTGAAAAAACGATTCAATAATGGATTTTTGGTTTTACCTTTCAGATCTTATCATCGAATAAGCTACCGATTTCTCATCACTAAGGCACTCCCTCCGGTAGTATCTTCCATTTTCTTTTCTTGAATGAGCTTTTATGTAGCCCCCGTACAGCGCAGCAACACAAAGCTCAGACATCGCCCGAGTTACTTCAAAATCCACCCAGATTATCAAACATATGTAACACGTAGACTCGTTCCCTCCATTTCAAACTGTTTAAATTTTGAGGAATTCCATACAACATGCCAGCAGAACAAGGGTACCTAGCAATATGGTAGTAGATATGCCATACCCGAGTTATGTCCCAACGTACCGACAGTACGTAAAACAGAACGTATTCCATAGCGAGAGAGAGGGCTTACATATTTAATGAGCTTGGGAAATAGCGGCCTCCGTGACCCCGATAAACTGTAACTTGGAAATATTCATTGTTTTTTAGCATTATCATCTGGTGTCTCCATATATCACATTCCCAACTATTCCAATCACATTTATCTTTACCAATGCTCCTTAACCTTGAACTGCTAACAAGACGTACGGAATGCCTCAAAATTTAAACAAATTGAAATGGAGGGGCGCATCTACGCGTTACCTGTTTGATTATCCAGGTCTATTTTGAAGTAACTCAGGCAGTGCCTGCTCCAAAGTATGTTTCTTCGTGCCTTCGGGACACCTCTGTGTTTCCGCATTGTACGAGGACTATGCAAATGCTCATTCAAGAAATGAAAATGAAGGTACTATTAAACGCAGTGATGGGAACTCGGTAGCTTGGTCGATTAAAATCTGACATAGTATAAAATAAAATAAATATAATAAAAAGGCAATCATTTAGGTGTCCAGAACTACAATGAGTTCTCGAGACAGTCAATGAATCAAATTAGAAACAAGGGACAATGAATGTGGGTGATCTGGTATATACCAGCCCTGAGGAAGACCACGACAGGATGGTCGAAACGTCGGTAACTAAGCCTTCGACGCGGCGTCACCCCGACAGCCCAGATCACCCTCATGACTCTGGCCGCGGAAGCCTACGACTTCAAGGGACAATGAATATTTTACACGAGGACTGCTGCGCAATTAAGACAAGAAACCCTGGTTACATCAGCCAACATCTTCACATCTGTTTATGTTTTGAGTACGTTGTAAAACGATGAAATTGCATAGTAGAATTTTTAAAGATTCGAAAATTTCGAATACGTTACCGCTTTTGCAAAAACTACAGGGTACAGAGGCACATTGATCAAAACTATCCACACACGTCTGAAATGATGTTATGGTGTGGTCGAGTATTTCGTGGAGGGGGCTTGCACCCCTTGTTGTTTTGTGTGGCACTAACACCTTCTTGCTTCCCACTATTCAAGAGCAATTTGAGGATGGCGATTGCATCTTTCAACACGATCCAGCACCTGATCATACTGCACAGTCTGTGGCGGAGTGGTTACACGACAATAACATCCCTGTATTGGACTGGCCTGCACAGAGTCCTGACGTGAATCGTATCAAAAACCTTTGGGATGTTTTCGTAAGCCGACTTCGTGCTTCCATCACCGACCTACATAGATACCACTCATCGGTGGAGCATTCCGTGAAGAAAGGGGCCGCCATTACCCAAGAAACCTTCCAGCACCCGATTGAAAGTACGCCTGCAAAAGTGGAAGCAGCTAAGGGTGAACCAACTATTGACTTTCAGCATTACCGAAGGACCACGAACTAGTAAGTATTTTCAGCCATGTGTCCGGATCGTACTTTTGATCACAAAGTGTATCAAGCAGCTCCTAAGCAGATTATTGACGCGAGTTCTACACAACCTACGAGTTTTCTACCTGACGATTGGGCCCATACGTATCTAGTTTCATCGCAAAACATCATCCCACTCGTGATGAGACATTTCTTTTTCTTTTCTACCCCTACACGATCAACCCTTATAGACACACTTATAAGCTAACGGAAGCCGCCACTCCGTTCTTGCCTGAGAAAAGAAATTAATACAGACATAGAACAAATAAAGGTACTCATAAAGAAGCCTCCTCCTGTCTGTACTCTAGGTAATGAGTATGGCACTTCATCATTTAGAAAGCAGTTAGCATGTGTATCAAAATGTTGTCAATGGGTATCGAAAGGATAATGGCCATTATTTACCTAGCACGGTGTAATGGTCTCCCTCAGAGAATAAGTCGTGAAATCCCATTGATACGTAGTTCACAGCAATTGGTTGACTTGCGAGAATGCGCGCAATGGTGTTCGCTTCCTCCTGAAAACACAGCAAAAAGGAAATCTGGTTAAATTTTTTCTTAGATTTTCTTCTTAAACTTTTAAGGTCGCTTTTTATCTATTAGGTCATATAGTGACCACTTTGATTGTTTACATCGAGGTAACTATAGGCGCAACACAAGCGCACAGAAACATCCATACCCAACGCGGGATTCGAACTCACGACCCGTCGAGCCGAAGCAATTACGACCCTACAGCTTTACATACATCGTCTCTACAGGAAGGCTTCTTAAATTTTCTTTTTTATTACACCCTTTAAAATACTCTATCACTTAGATATTTCGTCTAAAATGAAAAGAAAAAAATCTTCGAAATCGAAATCAGTTCATTTGTGTTTATTGTGAACTTAGACAATTTTCGTGAAATTTAAACATAGGGTCTCGAAGTCCATGATTCAATCTACTTTATTTTCTTTCTTTACTTCTGCAGAAGACTAAAAACATATTTTATCTGGATACTATCACAACTTCACTGCTTTGTTCTGCAGGTATCAAGTGAAAAAGAGATCGTACACATTTGAAAAGTTTTAATTTTTTTATATTTAAATGACATTTATGAAGAAATTTTACTCAATTGAAAGATTTAATTCACTGATCACCAAAGTTTATCGAATATCATTTAATTTATATTAAAATTGTGTTGACTCATTTTACTTCTCAGTGAAACAATATATGTTATATTTATGAAAGTATGAAATACATATTTTGTGTAGATGGTTTTAGAAGCTGGAAATATTTACTGAAATATTTGAAGAATCTCCCAACAAACATCGTTAATATCTACCTTATTTCAACTAAAATTCAATTTCGAAATGGAGTGGTTACCTGTGAGTTAATGACGGCCAAATGTGCCCCCTCTCGTTCACACGTAGCCTTCGCTTCGAGCCAGTTGAGAGGTGTGAGATGCACGCGGTAGGCGCCGAGTCCGGCGTGACGCTCGTAACCGAGTGCAGTGGGCTTCGCACACGACGGGCACGCTGGACAGGGCGGCGGAGTGGGGCAGGGCGATGGGCATTTTGAGGGGGCGGGGCACGCTGGACATGAGGGGCAGGGTGAAGGGCAGGTGATGGGCGCTTGAGTCGCGGGCGCCGGGCACACGGGGCAAGGGGCGGGCGCAGGGCACGGCGAAGGGCAGGGCGAAGGGCACGCGGGGAGCGTGGGCGGCAGAGGCAGAGGGGTGGCGCACGAGGGGCATGGTGCAGGGGGTGGGCACGAGGGGGGTGGATGCTCGTCTCTGTTGGGCGGGAGCGTGGGGCAGACAGGGCAGAGCAAGCTCCCATTGGCCCCCGATCGGTGGTCTAGTGATGAGGCAGAGGCTCCCGCAGGGAATGAAGATGAGAATGCCGGACCTGGAAAATAAAAGAAACGCAGAAGATAGCACGTATCGTCGAATTCTTTAAAATAGAGATGTTTTTAGAGATTTTTGATTCCGATCATTAGACATTTAGTACATTGAAATTACTTTCTCTGGCTTACTTTCTAAGAAGAGAAAGTACTGTAATTGTTGCAGGATAATTACCATTTTCCACAGAAAATCTTATTCGAAGGCGTTGGTACTGGATAAATAAAGTCTCTATGAAAAATTTTCTTCAAAACTCTGTATACTTGAATTAATATAAGAAACTATATATATATATATATATATATATATATATATATATATATATATATATGACTGATTTGCATTTTAAACATTTTCTAACAAAATGTCTCAAATATTTTCGTTTAAACTTTTTCCGCACATCTCTTAAAAGACGTTTAAATAAATGACACGAGTCACATTGTCGTTTGTGATTTTTCAAAATTTGCATGCATTCAATTTTTCCCTCGCCATACAAAAAATATATCATTAAAAATAGTTTTTTTTTCTTGGTAAAACCTGCTGACCAAAGACAGATTAAAGTAAAGACATGGACAATGTTTTGCAGAATTAATTAGTTTTGCGCAAAATCATGGCAATTTTTAATATTCTTTAAAAAATACACTTTTCATATGAGTCCAGCTTCTTTCTGTACATATTTTCTTCCTATATATCAAAGAACGGTCACGAAATAATGCTGATCTCATTTCTAGCAAACTCAGTGTATTTCCAATAGTTGCAAAAATATTAAAAGAGTTAACATACCAAAATTACAATATTAAGAGAGACAATTTTCTTTAATGTTTCCCTCACAGATAAAACACTGTTATTTTAAAACAATGGGACTGTATAATTTTTAAAGCACTTACTGAAATTTTTAAAATTGTATGTTAGAAACAGTGTGAGATGGTGTGTATGTTAAAGCACCATTACTTTGGAAATATTACCGGTTTTCTTCCTAATACTCTATTTTAATAAAAATAAAAAAGTTATGGTCATAATTTAAAAAAAATTAAAACGCAGCGAGATAAATAAGTGTGTTTATCATCAATTCAAATTTATTCATATTAGGTTTTTCTCTAGCTCTTGTAGAAGATAATCCAGATAAATGCCAATCGTTATTATACACAATATTAGATTATAACAAAATATGACTGAAATTGTGAAGAGTGAACCGACCATAATTGGTCGAGGTACTCTATTCAAAATACATGATTAACAACATAATGGATCACAGTTTTATACAATTGAAGAATTCTTCAAATGTTTGTTTATTGACAATGAATTATACCTCTTTGATCGAGAATATTGGTGCTGCTTATGTAACGAGCCTTTCGGTCGTGTTTGATACTGTGCCAGTTGTTTGAGCCCACCTGTGAGCGTGGCCTGCAGAGTGACGAGGCGCGAATCTCCGTGGCCGCGCCGCGTGGAACGCCGCATCTGCAGCTGAACCGGGGACTGAACTCCTTGCTCCCCGTCCTCTCCCGGCCGCGCCATCACGTGCTGCAGACGCACCTGTCTCACCACGAACACTTTCTCAATTTCAATTCTTTCTCCCTGTCAGGATGTGAAATTTCAGAGGACATTATGTCACTATGGGTAGTGGATGGTATATAATGGCAGTGGCACTGTTTTTCCCTTCTAATAAGATTGGGCGCCGAAATACTCGTCGGCTTAGGGTTTTTTCCTCTTCAACTATCGTAGTCGGGACAAACGCTCAGCTCCTTACTTACCTCCAGACATGTGTGGCAGTGCAGTGACTGTGTGGATGTCATTATTGGGAATGGAAGGGACACGGACGAGGTACGATTGCGCGTCGGCCGTGGTCTGTTGTTGCTCTGGCATTTTCCTGGCACTAATAGAAGTCACGGAAAAGTACAGAGCAGAGCGTTCATAGAGTATAATTCCCCTCCAGACACAGGATGTATTCGAATTTTTTAGCTAGTATCCAAAATTGGCATCTAACAAGACAAAAAAATAGTACTACCAAGCCAAACAATAGTATCTCCATAGCACGCGGTTATGTCTTATGTGCTCGACCAAACCAGTGTTTTGGATGAGCAGAGTTCGACTGCTACAAGATTCCATAATTATAGAATTGTAATGTTATTCGTAGTTGAGTTTATATGGCATACTAAGTTATAACCGGAAACGATTTGGTACGCCATCTGATGTGATCAACAGGCCTAGGAAACGGGCCACGATTCAATGACTTTTTTCTTCTAATCTGTCACGATTTCTATCTTTAAGGCTAACGATTGGTAGTTCAACCATCTGTGTTTTGTTCAATAAATTGATTAAGAAAATCTCCGACAGCTGACAGCGATCCGGAAGCAGCTAGAAACTATCAGTTTTCAAAGACACTAAAAGAGCCTGGTCGTGAGAAAATATATACAAAAAGTTTTAAGAAATATCTACTGCTCTTATTGATAATGGTTATGAGAATCCTAGTTTTCTTTGTTGGTCAGGGATTGCTACGAAAAGCATTCTTTTAATTTTCGTTATTAGTGAATCATACATTTTATGCTGAGAAATTTGAAAATATTTGTATAAATTGCATTTCATTTTTTCCTATATCCCGTATCTTATTTCAGGAGAAACAAATGTACGCTTGCACAAAGAAAATGTATGATAATAATAAATCACACATATCCTTTCGTTTGTTGACAATCAGTAGAATGTTTTGTCAAAAAGTCATTATTTTCTGTACACGACGTTTCTTGTGATGGCTACAAATATCTTCAGGTGTGAACGTATAATAAAAATAATAGAAATGTATACATCTGAAAATAAAAAGTAACACACTAAATTTTGAAGAATTGAAATTAAAAATCTAAAATAAAAGTTACAAATAAAACAAAGAATGAAAGGTATTGAAAAATCAAACGTAAGTGAATAAATACATGTATAACTAGTAATAAAAAAATACAAAATAGACGGATGAGAACATACCAAAACACATGAGTGATTGCGTGGATTACGATTGTAATCGCCGCACCTGCATTTTGATTTTGTAATGAGATATTTTAGCTTATCATTGCGGCACGTTCTGTATCTTTCTTTGAAAGCGTCCTCTTCCATACTTTGGAGTCTTAACACTTAACCGACAACAGGGTGACACTGATAACCCTTCAGAGAAGGCTGGATTACAATAGTAATCCACACGGCTATTTGTGTTCCAGTGTCTGATGAAGTCGCTTGAGTGTGCTATTTTGTGTTGGGCTTTCTTTTTATTTATTTATTTTTGTGAAAGTCATATCATTTTCGGTTTAGAGTACTAAAGTGGTTAGAGGAAGACCAAAGTGTGGGTAGTTCCAAAGACAAGAGAGAAGAAGACGTCGTATAACAATCAGAACTTCATAGTTAAAGTGAACAAGAATTGGATAATGAATATGAAGATATTTCAGGAGATTCGCACAGTTACTTTATTAGCAGAGATGCACTACCAAGTTGAATAAGATACGTCCGCCTTCAAATGTACGCACGATTGTAAAAAATATTATTTTCAATTCCACTTCAAAAACAAAAAACAAAAAAAAATCTAAGACTCGTCTGGATAGGTTTCTGGAAAACTAAATAGCGTTTAAGCTCTTTTGTAAAATCGAAATTTGAACCCCTTTTCACAGAAAACTATTAAGTTTCCGAAAAAAATTGTATGAAGTCATTTTAAGCACTTTGAGTCACAAATTCAATAGTATTAACACATGTCTTGAAATGTGCATACTAAAGGCGTGAGAGATACGAGTATTTGAAAAATATTAAATTTGTGTAATTAAAAAAAATAATCCAGAAACTTAATTCTATGTCATCTTAAACAACTTACCCCCTCTGGTTGAAAAGTTTGATAAAAAAAAATTTCGAGCCTTTTTTCAGAAAATTACTTTTGAGTGCTTCTGAAAACGCGAAATTGTGAGCTAATTTTTACAGAAAACAGTTGATTTTTCGAGAAACTTTATCTGAAATTATTTAAAGTACGTGTAGTTATAAATACTTTAATATGAACATATCGGCGTTAGTGTACATAGTAATGACGAGAGACGAGTTAAAAAAACTTACATTTTTGAAAAAATCAAAAGAATAGAGCAATATGGCGTGTACGTCCTCATGTGAATTAAGTACTATCCCTACAGAGAGTCTAGAAAATTTTGGAATCGTTGTTGAGAAAATCTTGTTTTTGGTATGGCAACCGCCATCATATATTTGTTTTTTACACAACCAAACGCCCCGGCTGGCCCATAGGGTATGGAGCATCAATAACCTACACTCATCTGATACGAGTGAGGCTGATTGTGTATAAATAAGAAACAGAGCTTAGGTGCAGAGCCAGAAATAACGCATAAATTACTAGTTAAAAAAAAATGTACATCATCTTCTTTAAAGAGCTAATTTTGTGCAACAGATTTTGTCTGAAACACACATCTCTACTATGAATTTAGTAGAATTTGAATTGTCTAGCAATTTTCGAAAATATCGAGGGATACTTGAAAATGAGACTAGTGCTACATTTCTTACCATTCCTTATTACATATGTGGAGAAAATTTAAAGAAAAGAATTGGAATGGATTCTGAGAAATTTTGTTTTTTCAACAAATTGTACATGCCCTTTCTTAATGAGCTAATTTCTTACAAAAGACTTCGTTTGGAAGAAACATCTTTCTCTTCAATTTTTTAGGTATTTTTATGCAATTTTCGAAAAGTAACGAGGAATACCCGAAAATGAGACTAATGCTATATTTCTTACCGCTCCTTATTACATATGTTGAGAAAATGTAAAGAAAAAATTTCGGGAGAATATTGAAAATTTTTGTTGCGAATTTCAATTGCAAAATATTCAAAATCTATTCCTTTTTTAAAAAAATTGTGAAAACTTTCTTCAAAAGCTAATTTTGTGCAACAGTCTTTGTCGAAAGCAAAAAATCTCTATCCAATTTTGAAGTTTTTTGTTTTTCAAATTTTCGAAAACGCGGTAATGTCGACGAAATTGAGACATGTACCATTCCTTTAAACGCCCCTTGTACTATCCAACAACCAAATTTAATCAAAAATATTGCAAACATTTTTTTTTAATTTTGAAAATTTCCTAGGGGCTTCATGTAAAGTACCCCCCGAATCTAAAATTTCGTTTTCAAATTCCAGGGTCCGCAACGTCAGCTAGAACAATTGGGGAATATAAATATTGGAGGAACTCGGATGAACAGTTTATGCGCTAGCGTTGTGTACAGACGGACGGTCAGACGTTTTGCCGTCAATATTTTTCGGTATAAAGGACACACAAAACATGAATTCTGGCTACACCACGTGTTAGAGGAATATTTTTTATATCTTTAGTAACTGAACTTCTCCACGTTTTCGTTATGAGGGCCGTCAATAAGAGATTTTGTGTCAAAAATTCGCTGTTTTCCGGCATACGAATACAATACTTTCTCTTCATACAATAGTAAGTGCGAGAAAATAAAAATGAGAGGACTAGATACTTTGGCACCACTAAGAGAAGTTTTTGAAGTATTTGTTCAGAACTGCAGACAGTTCTTTACTGTAATCGATTTTGTGACAATTGGTGAATAATTGATAAAATTTCGTGGTCGCTGTGGTTTTAGAATGTATATACCCAATAAACCTGGCAAGTATGAAATAAAAGTGTTCGAACTTTTTCGCACAAAATAAGCTTACAATTTAAATCTAGAAGTTAATGTGGGTAAGAAATCAAATGAACCTTATAGAATTTTTAGCAAGCATTTTTTAACAAATAAATCGCAATGTAACTGTAGATAATTTGTTTACCAGCATTTCTCTTGCACTTCATTTACTAATAATGATAAGTTGACCTTGCTAGATACAGTGCGTAAAAACAAAAGGAAAATACTAAGCATAATTTACTAGTACAAGAAACGGTTTCAAGTAATTTATACGGCTTCAGAAGTGACCTGAGAATAGTTTCTAACGTACCTAAGAAAAACAGAGGTTTTAGCGCTTTCTACTATGCACCACGACAGCTTTGTTAATAAAAACTCTAGTGACTTATTCAAACAGGAAATGAGAACCCTTTAAACAGAACAAAAGTGGGAGTTGATGTTCCTGATCAATGTCGGCGATATTCGATGTGTCCAGAAATTCGCGCCGATGGCCCCTGACCCTGTCCTTTGATATCAACATAGCAGCGATAAACCCATTGAATGAGTTCTCAAAACTAATAGCGAGCATGTGACAAGGAAAAACTTGTGGCGGCATCTGACCCTGGCCCTGATGACACCAGAAATAACTAGTGGTGCTAAAGAATGGCACAGAATTTCCCGTATTAGTTTTCCACTTTCTCTTGCCATCTATCGCAGCCATAATTACATTTTTTTAAATTCTTATTTTTTCGGTTTTCTAGTAGTAGAACGGAAATATTGTTTTAAGAATATTAAAGAACAGTAAAACCTCGTTCTAAATGGCAATTTCTTCGAAGAATTTGGAGCAGTTTTTAAAAATCTTATGTTAAAACGCTACAGTAAATTCGAAATGAGAAGCTTATTTTCACAGACACTTTTTGATTTTTCGGAAATATTCATTTGAAGACATTTGAAGCACATTAACTCACGAATACAATAGTGCTTACAAATTACTGGATTGTGCATAATAACGGCGTGGGATTTTTCTAATAATTTACTTGTGTGTAACTTTAGAAAACAAAATACACCGAAATGAACTGTCATATTCAAGAGTGCAATTAGCACTATCCCTTCCAAGAGTTTGAAAAAAAATTGAAGCCATTTTTGAGAAAATGACGTTTGAGCATTTCTGAAAATACGAAATATTGAGCTAGTTTTCACCAAAAATGGTTGCGTTTTCCAGAAACTTTACTTGCCATTACTTCGCATTATTTAAAGAACATATACTCAAAATTGTATACTGTGAACATATTACCGCTAATATGAATAGTAACGTGGTGAGTGACAAGTCACAAAAATTACACTTGAATAATTTTTGAAAAAACAAGAGAATACTGCAATATGGCATCTGTCATCTTATAGAGTAAATTTAGCACTATCCCTATTCAACGTTTAAATAAAAAAATTGGATCCGTATTTCGGAAAAGATTGTTTTTGTAATATTTTAAAATTGCATATATTGCTCGCAATATTGCGCGAAAACTACTAATTTTTTTAAAATGTACCTGACCTTAATGAAAGATGTTACTACGGAGAAAAAAAATATTTCACGGAAAATCTCTATTTCTTATTTTTTAATTGTAGAGAGACCCCGAAAAAAATTCAAACTTAATTAACTATGTAATTCTGACCTATGCCACATTTAAAAATGTAGTTTATTCTTAGAAGAAATTTACAGAAAAAATTTTACTTTGAATGTACAACAATTAAAGCACGTAAAAATTAATCAGAGGTGAAATGAGGAAGAAACAGATCTAATCATTAGTTCACCCATATAAATACAAAGGCAAACAGACCCCACCATAAAATGTAGAAATGTTTGTTATATTTCTATTTTAGAAATAATATTGTCATAAATGTTATTGGAAATATTTAAATCTAACACGGAATTATTGATCTTATGTGTTTTATATGTAGTGTCTCTTAGGTTAGTCTTCAATATGTTCTGGGTTTATTATCCGAAATGGTAGGGCTGTCAAAATTAAAAGAATAGTGAAAATGAGCGAATGTCGAGAAATCGAGTTCAATTTTGTTTCAGCCTTCCCAACGTTATTAACATGCTTTTTCACTTTTTGCTTAAGAGCACGTTTTGATTTACACACATAGGAGGCAGAACAATCACGAAATTTAAGGCAATAAACTACATTTTCTTTATCGGTTAAAGAGATTTTATCTTTGACATTTCTAACCAGATTTTCTTTCAGAGGCAATATATTCCTAATTTGTATGTCTTTTTTTATCAGTCAACGTTTTATCGTTACAACGTTACGTACAACGTACAACGTTAACAAAGCTAATTATTTATTCTTGGAACAAAAGGGAAGGTGATTATGTGACATTGACTAGTAAACTTTTCTCTTGATAATTGCAAGGCTGGATTAAGAGTTGTTTCTTTATTATTGTTTTTGATAATGGATAAGCGTTTTCATTATAATCTTAAGTATTCCATTATATTAGTTAGTGTATCATTAAATGCTTTACGCTTACTATTTTCAAATTTTTTTTACTAACTACTTACTCTTGACTGTTAATGATTTTTATTGTCTCTTTCCTTTGTAACTTATTTTTTATTTTTTATTAAATATATTCAAAATTTTGTTTGTCATTTTTTATTTTCAGATATAAACAGGTCTATTGTTTTTATTAAAATCTACTCACCTGAAGATTCGTGTAATCAACGTATGAAACGTGTATGAAAACAAAATGTGACGAAAAACATTCTTATAGATTGTCAAAAATACGAGATGGTGTTTTATTATTAATTTTATAGGGACAATCATCAACATATCAAATTTTATCTCTTTAAAACACATGCGAAAATGTTCAAACGACAAACAAATGACATTAAAATTATGACAAAAGTTTCTATTAATATGATCTTTAACAACTACACGCTTGTTCTATCGCGCTCGTCAATAAGCACTAACTTGCGCATAATGCCACATTTTAGCCCCTTGTGTCATAAATTATGAGACGCACGTAGCTTAGTCAACCAGTGCCACCTACGAGAGAGAACGGGACGCACGCCCACGATATACGGAAGCAAGACACGGAACGCACACATAAAAAACAATAATAAACAAAGACCTCTTAATCCAGCCTTGCAAAGCCAACCAGCAGCCGAGGCGAGGAAGCAAGGCACGCACCTTGGCCAGCCAGTGGCCCGAGGCGTTGAGGCCGCTCTCCAGAGACAGCTCGGCCGCGTTATCTCCCTCGCCGCCGCCGCCGCCCAAGCACAGCTGATCTGCCTCCTGCACCTGCGGCCGCGTCTCCTGGTCCGGCAGCCCCACCTCCGCGCCCGCCTCTGGGGCCTCCTTCAAATCGTCGTTCGCAATCACGGCCCCGTGCGCTGTCCATGCGCTCAGCGCTGCTGCCACCAGCACACACCACCTGCGCGAGTGCGAGTACCTCTTAGCGCAGCTAATACTATAACCTACATACGTACATAGAACTACTAACGTAATATTGCCTTGCACGATTCCCTCTGTTGGCTATTGTTTTGAAGATATTAATAAATGCCTACAATCGTACATAGTGATACTATTGCTACACTTTGTGCCTACTTATGAGTAAATCCGGTGTACATTTATATAAATAACTCATTGTCTTGTTTACTGACTTTGTTTCACACTAGTAAATGACTACTGTGCCGCTGAGTTAAATGACGCGTTAAAAATCAGCGCGGCCGCCACCAGCACGCACCACCTGAGCGAGTACGAGCACCTCTTAGCAGCTAATAATATAACCTACAAACGTACATATAACTACTAATGTAATATTGCATTGCACGATTCCCTCCGTTGGCAATTGTTTTAAAGCTATTAATAAATGCCTACATGTTACGTAGTGAAACTATTGCTACACTTTGTGCCCACTTATGAGTAAATTCGGTGTACATTTATATAAATAACTCATTGTCTTGTTTACAGATCTTGTTTAACACAAGTAAATGACCACTGTACCGCTGAGTTACATGACACAGTTCGCCCCAATTGAAACAATTATATCGTAATGGCGACATTTAATTCATACGTTTGTTTAATTTATTCCAACGTTTCGATCACATATTGGAATTTCCTGAAACCTATTTATTCTTATCATTAACAATTACGGCTGAAAGCCTCGGATCTATGTCACTAGAGTGTTTCTACACTACAAGAAGCATATATACATAATTGCAACACAGATTTAGAATAATAACACAAGACTGAGGGGGATTGGCTTCTTGGCGGGGATTACTGATTGTTGTTGACTTGAGTTATAAGCATTTGCGAAGGTCAACAAATACAATGGAGAAGATGACAATAATTCAATAAGTAAAATAAATGTCGCAAAACTGATGAATTATGTTTTAAGTGGCGCAGAACTTAAATTGAATGAAGTTGCTTCTTTATTTCTTCTCATTTCATTTCTAATGTACACATACGAACTCGGACAATATTTTTGAATATGATACATATTTTAATTTTTGTCACACATCAGAATGTTTTTAAGCTAAATATAAACAAAAAGTTTTATACAATATTTTGACACTTACTTGTAAAACATTGTTGTAAAATTTCGCCCGTGTTGATGCACTTTGGTAGAAGTTTTGATTCCAGCTGCGTGCTCTTCGTCGTTTACGCAGAGCAACAGCCATTTTATTCCACATCTCGTAGATTAAATAGGGAGTTTGTGCACCCTCGAACGTTACAGCACTATCAATCCTCTGCGCATGCGCAGTTCAAGTTTCGCATCAAATTAGTACATCTTCCCATGCGTAAAATATCGATAGTGCTGTCCGCTATGGCATGCACAAACTACCTAATATCAGAGTTGATCCCGGAAAACTTTCAATATGAATGTCATGACTTTGTCATGTCTTCCTATTCCCAGAATGCGATCTCTAGGGAAAGCATGAGCACCAACACTACATTGTACGAAAAAGCGTAATCGAAAAATTTACAGAAAGCAAACCCGGAAAATACCGATCATTGAAGAATTCTCCTAACTTATTATGTTTTAATACAGGATGAAAATACAACACTGGCCACAGATATATAAACATTTTTCTCAATTATGTACGAACAAGTAATTTTCTGTTTGAGTAAAACTTATTAAACTAAGTATTGGGAAAGTTGAGTAGTTATTTAACAGTGAACACGATTACCGTTTTTGTTGTTTTTTAAGATCGTCATTAACTACATTGGAACAGGTTGAGTTTGAAAACCCATCAATTTTCGACAAAGAGCCAAGAATACATGTTAGACTAATTTCAGAAACCTTATTTATAAAAAATTATAACACGATAAATCAGATTATAACACGATTCAAATCGAGAGTGGAATGCTTTGACTTCTCGATATGTACGTATTTTGAATAAAATTTAAAAAATGAAACATGATAAAGTGAGTCTTTCTCCATAATTATATTTTGTATTTGCAAGTGTTACTTATAATTATATCATTAATAGATTTTATTGTTATAGTAAAAAAAGTGCTTTATTTAAAGAACTGTGTACCTGATGATGCGAACATTTAGTTCGTGAAACGTTGAATATGAAATACAAAACAAGTTATTTTTTTAAGTTTACATAAAATACAATCCACTGATTATTTTCTTAAATAATTCAACCGATTGTCTTAAAATTAAGATACTAAAATCGACAGAAGTTTACTAACAGACAATGAACATACTAGTAAAAGATATAAATTTTAAAAAAAATCAGCTCATGCTAAATCATTATGAATATGTCATCCCATATTTTGATTCCATTACAATGATTTGACATGTCTCAATAGGGAAGATTTATTATATACTAAGGCATTTATGTTCTTTAGGCAGCAAATAATAGCTGAGGTGTCAGTGAAAATACGGAAATATCTCAGTTTAGAACAACAAGAACAGGGAAGTGGCTTCATTTATGCTTTGTGTGCTTCTGACGAGAAATAATAGTTCATCTTTCGATCGAAATGGTTATTAATATATCAAAAAGGGTGCATATATTCTTTTTATCCGATAATACGAAAAAAAATATAATTTTTAAAAATTTATCATTTTAATTAACTAAATACTACTGCCTACAATTAACTTAACTGACTTACATTCACACAAATTATTTTAAACAGTGCCACAAACGTTAATTGGATTGTTGGTGAAGTAGAAATGATCATTAGTTGAATTAAAATATTGATACCTGACAATATCTCTATTTATTTATCGCAACAAACGTTGATAATAAAATTAAACAATAAAATATTTCAATGCTTGCGACAAATGAAGAAATTAATGAAAGTCATTAATTGTTAAAATATGCACATTTAATGCCTATAGTTTGGTTCATTTAATGAAATAAAAATAATATTCTAGGGTTCTAAAGAAAGTTTTGAAAAATGCCAATTTCATATAATATCATAAAGTTGTCCAAATCAATCTTGTTTCCTTAATACATATTATCTGTCAGTACAAGTTTGACTATTACACGTGTAGTACTGCTGACAATATTAAAAAACATACTGTGACTTTTTTAGTGCACAGGCAATGTTCAGATACGCAGCGCACTGGCAATTTTTTCACATAACGGAATGTGTGCAAACTTACTGTTCGGGACTCAATTTATAATGCATCGTTTACATATATTCCATGCATGCGTGTAGGCTTAGCCATTATATTTACGCATCTTGGGCATACTTTTCAATGAATTCACAAACAATAGTACAACGATACGAAAGAAATGTTGGTAAAAACCCTGCTGTGTCCTCATTTCGACTACGGGGATATTGTGTATAACAATTTAAAAGATTCACTCGCTCAAACTCTACCAGAGGGCTCAAGATTCCTGTATCCGTTTCATTATAACATAAAAAAAAATACGAATCACATTTCTCTGGAGTTTATAAACGAGCACAAAATATTCAACATCTAAAGGAATAGGCGACTTGTATCACAGCTTTGTCTTTTATTTAAGATGCTAAAATGGGATTCCGCCGAATACTTAAAATTATTGTGACGTCTACGTATCTAGATTCGAGATGCCCAGTTACTGTCTGCATTCCAAAAAGCAAAACAATTAGCTACAAAAATTTTCGCAATTTACTGTACCGCGAATGGAAGTAAATTGCTCTCCAATAATTAAAACTCCTCTTATTAAATCATCTTTAACAGAAGCACTTGCATGATTTTTTTACAAAGTAATACACGGCAAATTTTGCTATTAAAATCACTGGTAAGATTACGGTCAAATAAAAACTATTTCTTAGGAGTGTTAAGATAATATGTTTTAGAAGTAACATTCAATGTTTCTTTGTAAAAAACTGTTACTTTCTTGTGACCTGTTTGATATTGCCGGGAAACTGTACTTTATCCGTAGGAGCAGAAGGCGGTTTTAAAACAAGAAAACCACCTTTGCAGCTGGACGCGCAAGCTGAGGATCCCATCCCAAAGACCCGTTACTTCATGTTAGCTAGTTTCCATTGTATTAAGACACAGGTCTGCCGGTTGGGTTTTTTCCCCCCTAGCGGGTTTTCCTCCAGGATCGAGCGACGTGTGAATGGTGGTCTTTATGTATTAATAGATCACAGTCGCTCGGCGGTGAATACCAGGCTGCCCGGTGTAGCCACGAGATATTTAAAGACATAATCTTAATTAATTCAAATTGGGGGTTTTTCAATCTCAGGACCTGATTTTAAAATTTATTTCGAAATTAATTATTGTAAAACATTTTATCCATTTAACCTCTGATGTTCTCTATTTATAAGTTGCTTTTAAATAACGTTTGTTCTTTTCACTAACTACTTAACTTGTAGATTACAGTTAAATTTCAAATTTTAATAAATTAAATTTTTTGTAATTAAGTACATTATCTGTATATTTGTGACATGTGGAAAGGCGGAAAGAGCGGGGGCCTGATGGCCGGCCTCGCATATTAATAAAAGGCATATTATCTATTATTATTATTATTATTATTATTATTATTATTATTATTATTATTATTATTATAGTAAGTCGCAGTTTTCATTCATCCCACGCCGCCGTGACGGGCCGGCCAGCTGCCGACGCCGCAGCGGCTTCCAGTTCACACGGTCTCCAAGCAGGCGCCGGAAATCTACGTCTGCACGTGGGCGATCACGACAGCCGCGCCGCCGCCGTGGATAGAAATGCGATCATTGAGACTAAGTAGTGACGACATTCTCCACCAATCAGCGCCTGCGAATATTCGCTCGAAATTAGAGCAACCGAGCCCTCAAACCAGACCCTCCACACATTTCGGAGACAGCGAGGTCGGCACCTGGTACGCACTGACGGCGGTCGCGGAGGGCCCCCGTGGGTCGCGCTGAGTAGACGACGTGGGTCGTATTTTTTTTTAATTTTATTAATATTTTGGATGCAATACATGCATCAGTTAACATTACTTTTTCACATGCCTTGATGGTTACTATCTATTTTAAAAACTAAGCTATTATTTCTTCACAATTAATTCTTAGGGAGAGGACACTGAGCACCTCACAATCATCCAAATTTGCAAATTGTAATAAGAAGCATGTTTAGGAAATATATTATTTTTATTCTGATGACATTTATGAGTGTGTTGCCTAGGTTGTATTGGGATAGTTGTGTAATTGATGTCATATTATTGTAAAAAGTATGGGATAACTTGGTGATGTGATGTATGATAGGTTTTATTTGAATGTCTTTATAAAGTTGTTTGTTTGTGATTAACCAGGGTGCATTGGTTATTGTTCGCATGCATGTACTCTGTATGACTTGTATTTTATGGATATTGGTTTTTGCTGCATTAATCCAGATAGGGCAAGCATATATCATTAGGGGTCATATTATGGCTGTAATTATGAGTTTGGCAATTTCTCTAGTTATTTTAGTGTGATTATTTATTAATGGATTTACTTTAATTAGCTTGACTTTTCTTTGTTGTGTTTTAATGTTTGTATGTTCTTTCCAGTTTCGTTTGGTGTCTAAAAGCAGTCCTAGATATTTCACTGTTTTGTTTTGTGGAGTCCAAGGAATGGTGTTATTGTTAAGTGTAAGAGGTGTAGGTGTTGAAATCGTTTTTAATGAACATATTTTTGCTGTTGACTTGGCTGGGTTTTATTTAATTTTCCATTTGTTTAATCAAGAATCTATTTGGTTTAAATGTTGTTATTTTGTGTTTCTGAATGTAATAGTGATGTGCTAGAACAATACAAAGCTGTAACATCTGCGAATTGGGCTGTATTGATTGTGTTGGATGTAGGGATATCAGCTGTGTGAAGATTGAATAATATGGCTGAAACTGAGGAGCCTTGAAGAAGCCCAGTGAATATTGGTTTGGAGTTGGAGAGTTGTTTGTCTATTGAAACTGAAAAAGTTCTGTTTCTTATGAAGCTATTGATGATGTTGGTTAGATATTTGGGTGAGTCAATGATTCTAAGTTTGTACATGAGACCTTGATACCATACTCTGTCATAAGCTTGTGAAATGTTTAGAAAGGTTGATATAGTATGTAGTTTTCTTTGGAATGCTGTATGGATATGTTCTGTGATCCTTAGTAATTAGTATGTGGTTGATAACTTTTCTGTGAATCTAAATTGATGCCTGGGAATTATGTAATTTTTGTTGACGTAATTATTGAGGCTTTTGTGAATAATTTTCTCTAGAATTTTGGACAAGGATGGTAACAAGCTTATTGGTCTATAATTTTCTCTTTTGGATGGATTTTGTTGGGTTTTGGTATTGGTATCACTACTAACTAATGTTCCTATAAAAGTGGGAAAAATCCTGTTTTAATGAATAATTATAAATGTTATATAAGATTGCTATGGCTTGGTTTAGCAGATTTTTTAGGATTTTGTTATTTATTCTGTCATGTCCTGGAGCCTTCTTTTAGGAAGAGGTTTTATTATGTTTGTTATTTCCTGGGGGGATGTGAATCTGATTCTGGAAGGTACATTATAATTAGGAGATGTTGCTATCTTAGTGATTGATTGGGTTAGTGTAGGGGTGAGTGGTTGGGTTTGAATGTATCTGCAAAATGTTTTGCTAGTGCTTCAGCTTTTCAAAGGGAGAGAATTTTTCCCTGTGCTGGTATTAAATGGAGGAATATTATTTCTTTTTTTTAGCATTTTATTTTTAAATTGCATCAGTGAATCATGGTTTTGTATTGTTGCTGTTTGTGTGTGAAAAATGTTTTTTTGGTAATATATGTTAACAGGTTCAGCTCCTCTTAACTTCTGGGTTTCTAGTATGATTCCATAATCCATAATCCTTGTGTTTTATTCTTTAAGTGGATTAGATTTCTTATGCTTTTGGATAGCTCACTTTTTATATTCTGTGGGTTCATAGGTGATTTGTTTAATTTACTGTTCTGTAGTTCACTTAATACAATGTTATTGAGTATTGTTATTGCTTGATCTATTTCTGGAGAGGTACTTAAGATTTTGAATTTAGGGATGCTTCTTTTAACATTATATTTTAATTTTTGCCAATTAATTGTGTTTGTGTTGAGTTATGGAATGGGTGTGTGTGGGGGGAGTGAATGGTGTGTTGTAATTGTTACTGGTAGGTGGTCTGAGTCATTTCATGGTGTACTGTAGAGAAAAATGTTTGTTTTAAATTTGTTATACCTGAGTCTCACAGGTCTGGGTTCCTAGAGTGATCAAATGGATAGTATTAGTTGTAATTGTGTTCCAGCTGCGTTATTGTTTTTACATCCCCACTGTACATGTTTTGCATCAAGATCATCTACGACTATAGTTGGGGTGTGTTGATCAATAACACCAATGAGATTGGTATGTCGGATTTTTACATTAGGGGGCTTATATGCTACTGTGTGTGTTGTTTCCAGATTTTTGTTATTAATGTACTTAATTGCTTCTGTTTCAACATCAGGAGTTGGTGGTAATATTATCTGATAACATGATATTGTGTTTCGAATTAGAATCATTACTCCTCCTCCATTAGTATTTGGTCTAATTGATCTGATTGCTTTGTAATCGGGTATGCTGAATTTTGTACTGTTGTTTAAATGTCTTTATGCAAGTAAAGTCAATTTTCTTATGTTGCATAAAATATTTAAGTTCATTGGTTTTATTGATTATTCCATTTGCATTCAAATTGATTATGATAATCTTATTAGTGTGTGTTCGTTGCATAATTATTATTAATGTATGCTTAGATGGATGATTGAATGTTATTTATTATGGATGGGATAATTGAACTGATTATATTGGTTATGCGAGTAGCTATTGTATTGATTAGGGAGTTGATAAAGTTATTCTCGTTAAAGTGTGCATGTGGATTAAGATTTTGGGAGTTATTGTTGAATATTCTTTTGTGTTCTGTTTGTGTCGTTTATGTGTGTTAAGTTTGGGATGTTTCGAGTGTTTGACGGTCTGGGGAAGTTAGTTTGGATATTTTGAAGTGGCGCAATTTGAGATTCATTGGTTCTATTTTCAATTTGGGGATTGGTATTGTTACGGCTTGGGTTTACATTTTTGCAATAGTGGCATTCTACTGTTATGAGGTCTGCTATGTGGTCTCCTTGGCAGTTATAAGATTTGAATGGTTCATTTTTATGGGGACAAGTAGCACAATAATGGTTTTTGAACAATAAATGCATGCTAGTTTATGGTTACAATTATGTTTTCTAAGGCCAAAGTTTAAACATCTCATGCATTGAAGGGGCCTTTAGGTCGTCTCTCTTTCAGCTTTCACAATGAGATTACATATTTGTCTTATGTCTGTGGATCGTATACGCAAGTATTCTGATGCATTAATGCATATTTGGTTTATTATTCATTCGTTACATTCAGTATGAGGGTAATCGAAAGAAAAAAGTGTGTGGCGTAATGCCAATGTGTCAGTCCGTGATGACACACTTCATTGTATTACAGCAGTTCTTTATTTTCACGTGTGTGTATTACTTCAAATTGCTGCATTGTTAATACGCACAGTCATTTACAGTGAATTTGTTTAATTTTATGTGTTTATATTACTGAATTGCTTCCTTATTCACACACACAATCATTTACAGTGAAATTGTTTAATTTCATGTTGATATGATTCATTCACTAATTTCATATGCAATATTATGTACTATGATTCCTTTTACATTTCTTAACAATTAATGAATAACAACGGCCGCTGGGTAGTGACGCAGGAGCGCGTAGTAGGAGCGGTAGGCGGAGATGCTACCTGGCGGTCCTCTTGACAACTGATTGCGACGAGACATGACATATAATGACGTACCCAAGTAATGGAGGACTACTCCAATAGAGGAGGAGACGCTCAAATTAATGGAGGATTACTTCCAAGCGCAGATAAACGCTGCCCCCCAAGCGGCTTGAAGACGCGTTGCATCAATTGAAGACGCAACAATTTTTTAAAATAGTATTTTAAATTGGAATGCCAATGTTTTAAAACGACAGGAAAATATAATTAGAGTATTCTTACACCAACATAATATTAAAATCGAGTGCATCACAGAAACCCAACAACCCAACTAAGCGACAGCTAAACAAGGATGTTCAATTCTAGTTGTACCTTACAAGATTACATCCAAAATCATCTTGATGAGTACATTAATTGGAAACAGAATTGGAGAATTAAAATTAACCTAGATAAATGTGAGAATTTTTCACCCTATTTAAATGACGAAATCCAACTGAACTTACAATATGTAGGTATACCACGGTACGAGAATACCATGGGCCAACTCACCAGTAAAGTACCTAGGTATTTTATTTGATAAATTTGATAAAAGGTTAACATGGAAACCCCACATCAATACATTAGCGAATAAAAAGCAAAACTTTCAAAATTATTTCCCATACTACACCATCACTACATTGAAAATCGAATACCGACTGCTACTATTCAAATCAATCATCCTTCCTACCATAACTTATGGATGCCCAGTCTGGGGAGGTGCAGCTCCTAGCTTTAATATCAATAAACGTCTAGTAATCCAAAATATATTTCTAAGCTGTACCCTACATGCCTCTTGGTTCATTACAAATGACAAAATTCATCGACAAGGAAAATACCAAACCTATAAACCATATCCCAATTAGCTAACAATTTTTACTACAACCTGCATACCTCTCCAGCTGTCATTGATAACTTAGGAAAAAAGTGGTCTATCCACACATAAAGTCTTGATTTCCCAAAGATAGATTCAAACCACCGTAAAACATAAGAGCCTCAGCTCATTAACATAACCGCCTAAGCATCCACTTTTTATTCAACGATTAAATTTAATCAACAAATAAGTGAGAGTTCAAACCGCTCATATCTTATGAATGGCCAATCCAAAAATGTCATTTACTAATCTTATATTAAAACCTTTATAAGACTGTACTGTCGAGCAAAAAGAAATAAATTTGAAAAAATCGAAAATGAAACCTGAGCCTTTCTTTAAACGTCTTTTAGTGTATCAGAGCATACAGTTTAATAAAATACTTGGAGCCATTTTTGAGAAAATTTTGGGTATGTTGCAGTTTCAAGTAAATTCCAAAATTAAAACATCGTTCTAGGAAAATCAATTTTGAAGAAAATAGTCCGAACAATTTAAGGCGCCAGCGTTGACCACAGATGGAGGGACATTTTTTGGTCAATCGATTTTTCGGTATCATGGATTCCCAAAACATGTGGGTCATTGAAACCGATTCGACTTATTAAAGGAAGTAATTTTTTCTGTATAAAACAATATTTATCCACTGTATCGTTATCAGTGCCCGAAGATGAGAGGTTTTCTGTAAAAAAACTCGATTTTTCGGTGCGCGATTACAGTATTTTCTCTTCTTACGTTGTAAGCCAAGAAAGTAAAATTATAATTCATGAGGAATGTCACCAAATGTTTATTTTTTTATATAAATGGTAGTGAAACTTCATACGTTGTTACTGAATATATATATATATATATATATATATATATATATATATATATATATATATATATATATTCAGTAATAGTATATAATTCAGTATATAGAACTACTTTAGGCAAATTACTAAACAATGTAATTGACTGAATGTTAATTATGGCTTTACTAAAACACCAATCATTTATTCAATCATCAATTGTTTTTAAAAATGTATTTACAATTAACATCATTCTCCATACACTTTTTACACTTTCCAAATGTGGAGAACAACATCTAGGTATGATTAAATTGTTTCATGATAACTCACAAAAGAAAACATTTGTTTTTCTTGAGTCATGATGAACCCATGATATAATTGATATTCTTCAGGGCATTTCGCAGATGAAAGGAGCGACAAGCCGGACACAATGTTGGTCGTTCAAAGTCATGTCACTCACGTACATTCCACCACAGTCTTCGTTGTTTTTATCATTTGGTTCTCCTTCTGCCCACTTGAAATATCCCGATGAGCGAAGAGGTGTATCTAAAACAATAATATGGTGTACAAATTTCACAATTTTGCAATAATTATTAATATTATAGGTACTGAAAGGAGTTATTCTGTTCTGACTACAATCGTAGATGTTCAAAATTAAAGATGACGACAAATACTTCGTAAAACATGAGTATTTTCATGTATTGAATTTTTGTCAATATTATATATCTCCCATTCTTTTTCACCAAATCATGACCACCCATTCCATTACAGGTACTGTAGAAGGCGACGGAAAATCACCGTCATCCTTCCCATGTACTACTACCTATGCTTAGGAATGAGAGAATGGCGTTCACCATCATACACATATACTCAGTTTCTTGTAAGCGTTAGTCAGTTATTTACCTAGAACGGTGTAGAAGGAGCCCTCGTAGTTTAAGTCATGAAAGCCCATTAACACATAATTAAAAGGAATTGGTTTGGTTGAGAGAATCCGTGCAAGGATGTCAGCTTCCTCCTGAAAAATACCCAAAAGTAGTTGTAGATAAAATTTTTATATAATTGTTAATAATATTTATATTTATCAAGCGTTCATCAAAATCTTTTTTTCTACATTTTATCAATAAAATACTGTCTGAAGTATTGTATTTACCACTTACACTACAGAAAATCACTCATCAAATTCAATATCTCTCTTATGCTCATGGATTGATCCCCAAGAACATTTTGGGAACGTTTTGGGAGCATGTTCCCAAGTTTCATTTATTAATATTCTTCCTTGAATTGTATAGAAATACAAATATTAATTTTTCACATTCTTGTTATTATTCCACATTCTTTTCAACACGCACTAAGTCCAATCTAGTAGTTCTACAATAGCACATTCTTCCTCACCATTACTAAAGGTTATGTAATTTTACAATACTGAACTTTCTGTCCATAGTAACGCATCTCAATCATCACTGGCAAAACGTATTCCAAAGTGAAGCTCATTAAGAGCGAAAACTCATTATTTTAAAGCTAATATAACAACAGAAATTTGACAATAATAACTGTGTTTCATACCCCTAAAATATCACCTAACAGTGGGAAGGAATTCTCAAAATTTCAAACTGCCGTACGGCGGCATGTGCCACACGTATTGCACTCCATTCTACTATTTTCTGAAATAGCTCAGTCAGGCAAAATGGGGATCGAAGGAGGAAAAATTCCGGAGTTTTTAAATTTGGCATGATTGTTGACACTAAACATACTAAACGCACCTACTATACATACAAACACTAAAACTCCTGAAGTGTGGGGGGTAAGCCTGAGCCGTTTGCTTTTCTTTATTTCCATATACTCTCTTCATAACTTTCCATCCCACAGAAAATTATGTTGTATACAAAAATAAAGACGAGAAATCCTCCTACTACATCGTTCCTGTTTCTAGAGCGATTTTGGTTTTGGAATGCAATTTTTTGCATGGAAAGCCTTTTTCAAATTATCTTTTAAGTGATTATTGCGGCTCATCCATTAGAAATATCGGCAGAGTTAATTAGACAAAATATGTTTAACATTGAGTTAAGATCTTATTTTCGACGTCTCGTTGATTCCTCCCTCCACACGCTGTATACAAATAATCGCATGTCCAGTTTTTCTCAAAAGATTAGTCTCGACAGGGTTGGAAGAGGTGGCTGAGGACATTACCTGATGTAAGTGCAATGCATCTGACCGAGACGTTGTAGGTTCGAGTGCCGGCGGCAGGATTTTCGATATCAGCTACTTAGCTTGATCAAAATTCAATCGCTTTCTGGAGGAGTATTCTAGTGGCCGGCTACTCTGCTCGGTAGTTTTCCGTGTTTTCTCCGATCAAAACCAGGCGAATCCCGGAGCATGAACCCCAAAGGGCCACAGACCGCGCAATAACTTTCCTTCCTCTTTCTTGTTCTATTCTCACCCCTTGCTTACACTCACACACATACATGTTCTTCATTACCAGGCATTCGCGGAGGCCGGTCGACAGCGTAGAGATTTTCCCGGCTGGAGCTGTACCCCTCTGTTGAGAGATACCTTGTGGGGAAAACGCCGCTAGCCGACGGTATTTCGGCGCCGGATCTCGCCACCCAGCGGGGAAAGATTACCGCCACCTCACGAAGAAAAAGCATACACTACTCTTACGGTGCTAAAAACCTTAGAAGTTGACGCGCCCGGAATCTATTGACTAAATCATTTAATCAAAAGATTCGTGTTCGAGTAATTTTGTAGTACAGTACGGCGTTAGCGTTTTTCGAGTGAGAACTGGTAGTAGTACAGAAGGTGCAGTACATTAATATAACGTAATCGTTACCAATGAGCGAGAAAATCAATGAGTGAGAAAATAGTACTACTAGGTTTATAGTTTACACATCTACACAATATTTCTTAAAGAGATTTCTGTCTATTGAAGTTTCATTAACGATCCTCAAATGTTACCCAATTTCAATTTTTAATGCCGCTGGTACATTATACATCTTAGCGACCTGTCTTAAATTGTATTTTTGTTTTATATATCAGGTTTTAGGTCGCAGATGTTGCCTTTTGAATATTTCAAGCCCCACCCATCCTGTAATTATCAATTCTTACCACGAGTATTGGAATTGGAGCGCTCACCTGCGAGTTAATGACTGCCAAGTGCGCCCCCGCCCTCTCACACGTCGCTTGCGCGTCGAACCAGTTGAGGGGGGTGAGGTGCACGCGGTAGGCGCCGTGCCCTTCGTGGCGCTCGTACCCCAGCGCGGTGGGCTTCGCGCCCGACGGGCAGGCGGGGCACGGCGAAGGGCACGACGTAGGGCGAGCGGGTGGGCAGCGCGGGGCAGGCGGGCACTTCGGTCGACGCTCGCGTCCGGGCGGCAGCGTGGGGCAGGCGGGGCACCTCGTGGTGGTGTCCGCATGGGACGTGGTCTTGCGTTCAGCCGACGCCTCCTACAGGAAATGAAGATGAAGATGAGGCTGAGGAGCCTCAAGGATGCAGAAAACAAACGTCTTCTAGAGTTCAGTGGGAAATAGAGTTATTCAAATATCGGTCTCCATATTGTCGTGGCAGGAATTATATTCCTCCACGAAGCAGTTGATGATGGACAAGAGTCCAAATATATAGCTGATTTGCCCTCGAAAAAGTTTGTATTACAACGGAGTGAATATTTTTCGCTAACAATTCTTGCCCCAAACGCTTATTTTTGTATGTAGAATTCAACTTGTAAATGGTTTAGGGTAGGATACCAGAATTAAGTAAACATGCAGACATTACTCTTCTCCCTGTTGCACGTCACGTACAATTTCTAACTGTTTTTGACGTAAAGATAAATAAATCAATAGAAAACAATGTTTTGTCAAAACTTTTTAAGGACAGAGGTTTTTAGTGATTTTGAGCTTACGATAAATTCAGATTGTGTTATGATAATAAGATAATAATGTGTTATGAGTTACAATGTACTCTACGAAACTTTCATACTCCTTAGTGATAAACTAATTTCTTTATTGGAGTATTAAAATTTAGAGACGGTGAAGAGAAAGGAACTGATTATCTTTGGTCTGATTACTTGATTGTAAAAACAATGTATTTTTAAATGAATGTTTGTAAATTTCAAGACAATTAATGCGTTAATATTTTTTCTTTAAAAATGTTCTAATGAGTGTTATAATTTATAGGTGTGCAAATGAATTTTAAATCCATGCTTGGAAAAATAAGTATTGAATATTTAAGTAGCATGTCGTTTGAACTTGGTATGTATGCCTGTTGTATAATAATGAAATTAAATTTTAATTATTACTAAATTATAGTTTTAATCAAAGAAATTTTGAAATAATGATTTGCGTATAATTTATTTTGCGTTTTCAGTATTTTGATTTCAGTAGAAACAAATAAAATACGTATATTTTTACTCAAATCAAAGATTTTTAATATTTTTTCCAAAATGCTAATTTCATCTTATGAGGTAAAGTTTTGTTTCATGCTTCACTATTAAAATGTTATCGTAAGCATATTGTAAAGCAATAGATATTGATAGTTAAATTATGTAGCTCGTTATAAACGACTTAACAAAAGATAATTCCGAGGTTAATACGATTCAATTAATTCCGTAGGCGTGCACCAACATAATGTGATTAATACAAGTTAAAAAACGGACGGACAAGACAAAACATTAAAAGTTACTAAACTACATTTACGTTCTTATTCACCTCTACAAGCTTGTTCCAAAGCTCTCGTCAATAACCGTAACTTGCGCATAAAGCTGTATTTTAGCCATTGCTATTATAAATGGTGGGACGCATGCACCTTGGTCGGCTACTGGCCTATGTAAGAGAGATAGAGAGGGGAAGCACGCACACCATCCAGCCAGAGACCGATGTACGGAAAAGTGAGGGTCACCCGCGCCTTGGTCAAAGAGCAGCCGAAGTACGCAAAGAGTGCACAGGTCGAACGTGCGTTCGCCGTTGCGTGGCTGAGGTGCGGAAGACAAGGACGGAAGGCACACACCTCTCCCCAGCCGCTCTCCAGGGATAGCGGGATGACTTCCTCTCTATCGCAACCGCCTCCCAAGCACCGCCGCACGCCCTCTGGGTCCTGCGGCACCGAATACACGTTCTGCAGCTCCTCCTCCGAGTCATCCAATGAACTGAATGGGAACCAGGCACCCTGCACCGACCATGCGCCCAGCACGGCCGTCGCCAGCACACACCACCTGCGTAAGTAAGAGCACTTCCTAGCAGCGCAGTTCTTATAACATGCATACATGGAATTACTTGCGTAATTTTATATTCGACATTTCCCTCCATTCACTATTGTTTTAAACGCATTGATAAAAGTATGCATCTTTTTTAGTGATATAATTGCTTCACTTCGTCTCCACAGTTATCACTAAATACGATATTAATTCTATAGATTTTTCTACTTATTTTTTTGCTCTATCAAATGATATCCCTATCTCTACGTCAAATGTTATTCTTTACAAATTTCGCTTTTTTCATCAGTTCTTGCCAATTGGCAATATTTATTGTTTGTTTAAAGATTGCCAATGTTTAGGTATAATTGCCCTAATAGCGTTCTTGCGTAATAGCAATACAAAATTAAATAGTATCTCAAGATTGTAGTGGTATAGCTCGGTAGCGGGCTACACTGACTATTGTGGATTAGAGTTATAAGCCCTGAGGAAGATTCAGAAATACGACCCAAAATTTGGCAATAAATAAATAATAAATGTCACCTAACTCAAAAACCGTGTTTAAAAGTAATTCTTTAATGGCGCAAAACCTATATCATAGTGTAATTGTTTATCACTTTATCATTGTATTCCTGATATAAGCATACGTAACTAGAGAAAATTTTGAATATTATACAAATTGTATTTCCTTGTCGTTCGTCAGATTTCGTTCGTCTTATTTCAAATAACAACTGAACCCAAAAGTTTTAACATAAAAATATATTGAAACTTACTTGAGAGCATAGTGGTCCAGTTTCGCCTGGATTAATGATCTTCGATATAGCTTGGCACTCTTCATTTACTTACTGCCAAATGCCACTTTATAAGCTATCTCTTAGGATTAAATATCAAAGTTGGTTCCGGAGAACCTTCAATATGAACGTCATGAGTCTGTCATGTGCCCCTATTCTGGGAAGAAGACCTCTAGGCAAAGTATAAACATCAAACTTAAATTCTACGAAAAACTATAATTGGGAATCAGGAAAACTGGAAAGTACCGATTACTACATAATTATTCAAACTTTATATTTTGTAATAAACAATGACAATTTAATGTTGTAGCTTACTTTGGTTTTTATATATTTTTTTGAGAACAAAAAACTGTCCGTTTTAGTGGAACTCATTAATTATGTATTGATGTCAAGTAGTTATGTAACCGTATCGAGAAACGATTACTGCTCCATTTGAACTTTCACATTAACCATGATTTTTCGTTTTGCTATCAAATTAAGAAATTAATTGAAAAGGTCAGATTTAAAATTGATCTGTAATTTTATCAAATTAGCACTTTTACGTTGAATGTATGCAAGGTTACGAATCTGCTGGAATGTGGAAATAAGAGTTTTCAGCTACAGATTTTCGTGTGGAAAAACCTACTTTTAGGCGTCGTATAACTCTCACTAGAAAACACAATTGAAACTAGCGGTCCTACTGCAGAACATACTTTCTGGCATTATTTGAAACAGCTACGTGGTATTGAAAAATTGAAATTTCTGCGCTACTAACACCTCAGCTATTAGTTGAAAACGTCAATTCAAACAAAATATCTGTGAAGTATATCTGCATTCATTTCGATAGTCATTAGAAGCAATCATTTCATACTTTTTGAAATGAAAGAAACAGAAAGAATTTGACTGTTACAGTATTCGTAGCAAATTATTCAGAAGCGAACAACCACTGTTGCCAGCGCTGCGTTGTCAAAACTGCGTGCAATGCATTCGGCATTTATGCTTGGCGAATATTTTCTTATCAATTCTTGGTGAAAAGGCTTATTTTCCGTCAGTATTCAGATTTCAATTTGTTTGTAAGTTAGCCATAGAACATCAAATACAGTCGAAAAGGGAAAATATGGATAATGAAATAGGTTTCAAATAATTTTTAAAAGGCTAATTTGTAAAGTATAACTCAATTGTAAATAAAACAGGTTTATCTTATCGCTGTCATCATTAACCATTCAACAATGTACTTCTCAAATATCCATTGCGGTATTATTTCAATTGCGGTTTGTGGATTACTTAAAAGAAAATACATCAATGCATTGAGAATAAGAATTGTAGAATAGCATTTTCAATAGTGAATTTTAATTGAAATTAAATTAATTACTTTTCATACCCTTTTCATTCATTCTTGCTCTGGAAGAATTTTTCTTTCGACCATAGTTGGTGGGACATCTGCATATATTTCATTAATTTCAAGCATGAGTAACGAGAAAACTACTAGTTGAAAGATCATAGTTGCCCCAGTGACTCCGCGTCGAAGGCCGGACGTGTGTCGAAGGCCGGAATGCTGTCTTGCCGACGTTTCGACCATCTATCGTGGTCTGCGGCAGACCAGCCCTGAAGAAGACCGCGATAAGATGGTCGAAACGTCGGCAACACAGCCTTCGACACGACATCACCCGGACAGCCAAGATCATTTACATGACTCCGGCCGCGGAAGACTACTACTTCATTTAAAACTACTAGTTTCAAACAAATGGACATGACCTTTTTTTAAAGAGGTAATTTTCTTAAAAAGGTATTGTTTAAGATAAAAATATCCCTATCTTCTATTTTGTTAAGTTTTTGCAATTTTAGAAAATACGGAGAGATCAATGAAAACGAGGAATTTCCCATTCATTTAAATGCCCCTTCTATCCTTGAAAAAAATTTGGAGCGAATTTTGAGAATTTTTTAAAGATATTTCGTAAACCTCTGCGCAAAACTACCTGCTTTCTCAAAAAATTGTTCATGACTTTTTTTTTAAGAACTGATTTTTTTTCATCACTCTTTGAGACAAAATCTCTCTCTCTTTAATTTTGGAAGTTTTAAATGTTAACGTTTAGGAATATTCAAAAAACCGAGTAATACTCAAAAATAGGACTTGCACCATATTTTTTTGCCGTTTCTTATTAAATTTGTGGAAAAAATATAAAGAAAAAATTTGGAACCTTTTTTTAATTTTTTAATTCCCTTTATTCGCGAAATATTACAAGAAAACTACTCACATTTTCGTAAATATGACACGAGGCCGTTTTTTATGATCGGGATTTAAGAAACCAGTTTTATTTAGGGAAAAATATTTATCTTCAATATTATATATGTAGGTAGACGCAGAAAAAAATTGAAAAGGTTTGTAATTCTCGAAAAATCAGAAATTTCAACGAAAATGAGACCTGCACCATTCTCCAAGCGTTCATTGTCCGATTCGAGGACAGATTTTAATCAAACATTTGATGCTCTTTTTGAAAATTTTGAAAATATCTAAGGAACTTCATGTAAAGTACCCCCAATATTACAATATGACCTTCAAATTTCAAGGGCCGCTACATCAGCCACTACGACTGGGGAATATCAATTTTGGAGAAAATCGGCTGAACTTTTTATGCGCTAGCATTGTTCACAGACGGACGGACAGACGTCTTACAGGTAATCGATTTTTCGTTATCAAGGACCCACAAATCAGGGAATCTGGCTACACTACGTGTAGGAATTTTTCTATATCCAGCAACTGGATTTTCCCCCTTTTTCATTACCAGGAACCGGGGATAAGAGTTTGTGTTGAAACCTCGCTGTTTTCCGGCGACCAATTACAATACTTTCTCTTCTTACATTAGTAAGGGCAAGACAGTAAAAGCGAGTCCTTTTCGCGCAATTTCTGTTTGAAATTGATGCAATCTTTAATTTCTTTTTCTCCAAAACATATTTTTTAACTTTTTTCCAAGAATACAAAGAGGGAATAGTGCAAGTTTTATTTTTTTTGAACGCTCTGAAGTTTTTTAAATTACAAATATAGAAGTAATGTTAGAAAAAAATGTGTTGTAGCATCACTAGATTTACGACGCTTGAATTATGTTATTGGAGATCTGAAAGCATTCTGAAGAATTCCGAGTGTATCTTTCGTCAGTTAGGTATGATACATACCACCAAAATGTGAGAAGAGAATTATATAACCAATGCAGTGTCGCATGTGATTAGTGTAGTAAACTCGACTGATGAAGACCAGAACTCTTGTAATACTTTAATTATATATTAATTTTTTATTTTTGCTGTTTATTTCTTAATCAAAAGTACTCTTTAATTATGTTTTGGTGTTAATTAGAATACAAAAATATTATTTAGGGCAAAATGGAAAAAAAGAAAGCAAGTAACCATAGCAACAATCAGGAAAGAATTTCAAACGCTAGGTGATAAATGTCGAAAAAAGACGCAATTATCCGCACGTGAAAAACTATTCACACTAGGAGGCGCCGCATTGGTTAACATGCTGTAAGAATTTTTCCTTTCGTAGAACTGATAAGAGCGATCCGCGGGGGCACAGCTAATCTGACATTGACAAAGCATTAGCTTCGAGAGTTGGAACAAGTAATGCCATTAAAATAATTGCAGTTTTTTCTGACAGCAAAAGAAACAGTGGTTTGTGCCTTATCTTAGAAATATATAATGTTAACATATATTGATTGTTCCACGATAAGTTCAATACTACTATCTGTTAATTTTCAAAATAATAACTGTTATTTTATGATGTTTTGGAGGTGTTTAGAACCTTTGTTGCTTATATTGAATGAAATCCTACAGAAATATTTAGAAACGATGGGCAGTCTTAACCCAACGAACTCGGTGGGGGATGTATAATATGCCAAAGAAAGTTGTACGCAGATCTCCTCGATTTCCGTCCGGAGTCTCCTGGTGTCAGAATTAATCAACGTGCTCCGGAATAATACGGACAATCCCAGTATCAATACGGACACCTCCAAGAAACGGTCAGCCAAATCGATCATTGGAGGTACCGGTAGTTTTCAAAATAATGCAGTAATAGCGGGTGAATGCCAGAGTAGATAAGCACGTCATCCCGGGAATTAAGAAGAGATTCAATGAACATGATCTCATTGAAAATGGAGAAATGCGTATAGGTTTCTGCGTTCAAAAGGAAATAAGAATAAATAATTATTTCTTTGATCATTAAGAACAGCTTAGAACTACATGGATGAACACAAGAGGACAACCACCTTGTTACCTTGTTGGATCCACCTTGTTACACAGACGACACATACGTACGATTACTGTACGGATACAATACAATTTGTAAGAATTTTAATTTATAAATATCTACCCAAAAGACGAAAGCTATGACAATTGCGAAGAATTGTAAATTGGTAAAAGAATTGTAAAAATTAAGTGTAAATTGGTAGTGGATAAGCAAATAATAGAACAAGGTCTAGAGATGAAGTATTTTGGAATAACTTTAACAAGCTCAGGACAAACGGAGGAAGAAATCAAAGAACAAATGATAAAGGGTTATAGTGTCTCTGGCTGTCTCAACTACTCAATGTGGTATAATAAACATCTAAAACAGGACTCGAAGGTGAGAATATATCAATCAATATTAACATATGCAGAAGAAAAAAGAAGCGAAACGAAACGTACTCAAAGAAAACTTGAGATCCCCGAAATTACCTACTACGCTCCTTACATCTAGTATCTGGGATGGGTGAATTTCACTGTTTTAAAGTGATTGGTGGATTTTGCCCTCTTGTGTTCATCCATGTAGATTTATGCGGTTCTTTATGATCAAAGAAAGTATTATTCATTCTTATTTCGTTTTCAACGCATAGAACTATAAGTTACTCCATTTTCAATGAGATCATGTCCATTGAACCTGTTCTTAATTCACGAAATGATGTGATTTCCTGCTCTGGCATTCAGATCACCCGCTATTGCTACCAGTTCCTTAGGATTGATTTGTCTGATCGTTTCTCGAGACCATCATAGAATTTTTGTTTTTCGTGGAATGGTTTACGGAAGTAATGTTGATTGGTTTAGCTTTATTTGTCAATTTC